GGAGGTATTTGTAAACTTTTTGTAAGGACAAGAGCAAATATTCCTTTTAAGGAATGTATGGCCTTGTTAAAACATGGATTCTGAACTAGTCTGCCTGGGTTTACAATTCTGTCTCATACTTTCTAGCTTTCTAATCTGGGGCAAGGTACTTGAATTCTCACTGTACCAATTTTCTTATCTGTAAACTGGGGTTTATAATATAGTATACAGTTTATATGTAGTTGCAGATGTATTCATATTGGCACAGAGTAAGTGCTCAATAAAAATTACTTCAGCATTACCATTCTTTTTTTTTTTTTTCTAGAGGCATGTTTTTATTTATTTGTTTATTTGTTTGTTTTTGTTTATAGATGCACTGGGTACAGTCAGAAGCGCGGGAGGGTGAGAGAATTCACCAGAGCCAGAGTGGGAAGCAGAGCAGGCAGAAGGACCGAAGTACACTGCTGAGGGGAGCAGCGGGCAGCAGGAGAGGTCTGCGCGCCATGCGGGACCCTCCTCCAGTGGCCGGGAGCAGCCGGGGATCGAACCGGCACCGCAGAGACCTCGGGCAGCTTCGCAACCCAGTGCTCAACCACTGCGCCACCGGGGAGGCCCAGCATTACCATTCTTAATGTGGTAGAGACTGCTATAAATTCCCAAAATCTATTCTCTATTTTAATAACAAAATCTCCAAGTTATAAATATGCATATGAACGTCCAGGATTAACAGTGAATCTTTCGGTCTGTACTGCAAGCTAAGAGTGACTAAGTGACCAGGGCCTGATGATAAGATATAAACAGAAAATTTACATAGCAGCTTATGGGAAACTTCCTTAACAAACAACTGAATATCTACTAGATATGCAAATTTCAACAGTATAAAATTAGTAATGACTGGTGAGGATACCGAGCAACAGGAACTCTCAAACATTGATAATAAGAGTATAAATTTGTACAATCACTTTGGAAAGCCATTTGGCATTACTAAATAAAGATATGCATATTCAATAATCCAGAAATTCATTCCTAAATTAATATTCTAAAGAAGCACATGTATAAGGATATAGATAGAAAAATTATTTGTAATTGTCAAAATTTATAATAATAAACTATAATAAAGGCCCACCAACAACAGAATGGATCAATAAATTGGAGTTATTTCCACCATGGAGTACTATTTAGCAATGAAATTAATATTCATATTTATATAATTAATATAAATATACACATATAACCACAATTCATTGACTAGAAAAAGCCAGAAGGAAAATAACACAAACTATAAGATTCAAAAATAGGCAAAATTATATGATTTAGATGTGAATACGTGGGTGAAACTTTAAAAAGAAACAAGGCAATGATTACCATAAAGTCAGGATTATAATAATCTCTAAATCTAGGAAGAAACTTTCTCTAGGGAGAGTTGTGATAAGAAAAGGAGACAGTTTTTGATATTCTCTGTATTCTTTTGTCACTTGAGTGGAAGTTCCATGAATGTTTCTTTAAAAAAAATTTTTTTATCAAAATGGATAGAAGACTTGGATGTAAGACCTGAAACCATAAAATACCTAGAAGAAAAAAATAGGCAAGACACTCCATGACATAAACTTTAGAAATATCTTTGTGGATTCATTCGTAAGAGCAAGAAAAACAAAGGACTAACTACATCAAACTAAAAAGCTTCTGTACAGCAAAAGAGACATTAACCAAAATGAAGAGACAACTGAATGGGAGAAAATATTTGCACCCCATATATCTGACAAGGGATTGATACTGAAGATCTACAAAAAGCTTATACAACTCAACAAAAAGAAAACAACCCATTCAAAATTTGGGCAGAAGAGCTAAATAGGTAATTTCCAAAGGAGACATACAGATGGCTAACAGGTACGCAAAAAAATGTTCATCATCACATATCAGGGAAATGCAAATCAAAACCACAAGGAGCTATCATCTCACACCTGCAAGAATGGCACTATCTAAAAACAAAACAAACAAACAAACCCAGAAACAAGTCCTGGCAAGGGTATGGGAAGAAAGGAACCCTTTTACACTGTTGGTGGGAATGTAGATGGGTCCAGACCCTATGGAAAGAAGTGGGGAAGTTCCTCAAAATTGATCTGCCATAACTATTTACAATAGCGAAGCTTTGGAAACAACCCAAATGGCCAAAATAGATGACTGGATCAAGAAGATGTGGTACATATACACCATGGAATATTACTCAGCAATTAAAAAAGATAAACACATGCAGTTTGCAGCAACATGGATGGAGCTAGAAGGGATCATGCTCAGTGAAATAAGTGAGAAAGAAAAAGAAAAATACCGGATGGTCTCACTCATAGCAGGAATTTAGAAAACCTAAATAAGGGACCAGGAAAAAGACTAATTAATACAAAGTAAAAATCAAAATCAACAAGCAACTATAAACCAGAGACACACTACGGGGGGTGGAAAGGGAAGAGGAAGGATTAGGGTCAAAATAAGGGGGGGGGTGCAATTGTATGGGGAATATAACCAAAATGAAAATGCATACATTGTGCAAAAATGAAAAATGATGTAAGAATTATATAAAATAAAATATTTTAAAAAATTGATCTGCCATATGAAAAAGCAATTCCTCTTTTAAGTGTCTACTCAAATAACACAAAAACATTAATTTGAAAGGAAACTTGCTCCATATTTATAGCAGCACTATTCACAATAGCAGTGATATAAAAACAACCGAAATGCTCCAGAACAGATAAGTGGATCAAGAAGATGTAGTATATATACATAATGGAATACTACTAAGCAATCAAAAAGATTAAACTCATGCCATTAGTGGCAACACAGAAGGAACAGAAAAGGATTATCCTAAGTGAAATAAGCCATTTACTTAAATGGTTTCACTTTCATGTTGAATATAGAGAAACCAAACAAATGATCAGACAAAGACAAACTTTAAACTGACACTTGAAAGTTGAGGTACCCGGGAGAAGAGGAGTGGGTAGTTTCGTGGCAGGAGTACTACAGTGATCTTACCTGGTGAAGAAATCCTATATTGCAAAAAAATTAACAAGGATATAAAATAATGGTACTTCATTAAAAAATAATTTTTTAACTATTCATTGTCTTATGCACTTTCTGTCCGAAGATTATGTTTCACAATTTTAATTACAGATAAAGAAACATCTCGTGCCTTTCATCTCTCCTCTTTTTTATTACTTCCTCCACCCTACTGCTACCTGGGGCCATGAGAAGAAGAATCACAACATAGAAAATACCCGAATAATTAGCTGGAAGGTAAATAACTATTATATCAGTCCAGAACCCTTTATCTCTGTACTTATTTAAATGGAATATAAATATTATATTATTTTGGGATTTTCTGTTCTTTATATAGCCAAGCCTGTTAATAACTAATGTATCTATAAATAAGATTTCTAAAAAGACAACCTACCTAATAGAAAAATTGCTTAATCTCCTACACACAAACGCACACACACACAATTAAGCAATTAATTCACAAAAGAAACCCAAAAGGCTCATAAACATTTAAAATGTGTTTAAACTCAGCAGTAATCCAAAAAATGCAAATTAAAACGAAATAGTATTTTATAAAAAAAATTTATTTATGCATATAAAGAACTGGGGTTTAGACCAGAGGTGTGTGGGTGAGGATTCTGAGGGTGAATCCAGAGACAGAGTGGGGAGCAGAACAGGCAGATCTACTGAAATACACTGCTGAGGGGAGCAGCATTGAGACAGGAGCGGTCTGCTGTGCCATGTGGGTTAGCTCCCAGGCCAGGATTGAACTGTGCTGCAGTGGCTTGCAGTAACTTCATAGTGCTGAGATTTAACCCCTTGTGCCACCAGGGAGGCCCTAAATTATTTATTTTTACATAATCGACCAATCTACTCTGTACATGCATGTCTGTATAAATTAGTATAAACATGTAGGAAGGTATGAAAAGATACATACCACTTTGTTAATATTAGCTCCTTTGGGAGTCCAGGAAATAATGGAGATTATTTTCTCTGTGTTCCTCTTTGGATGGTTTTAGTGGTTATAGTAAGTACAAATCTATATTACTTTTGTAATTTTTACAAAATTACGAAATGTAAAATTGGTTTTAATAAAAGGTATATACATCCATTCAAGAATACAGGATAATTACTATACCTCAAAGCCAGATGAACATCTTTGTAATCAATCATTGTCAAACATTAAATCTGTATCACTGATGCAAACTGCACAAACCTGTACAAAATAGAATGAAGTAGGTAACCTAAGAAAATAATGTGAGTTATCCACTGACATTTCATCATATGTATTTTGATAGTAATTAACTTGAAAGACAGCTGGGTGTTGGTAAAATAAATAAATGCATGTTACTTCTTGCAGTCTTCTGGGAAGGAACTTAGAGTCAAGCTATATCCCGGAAGGAAGATGGGAGTTAAACACAAAGGAAGGGACAATTCTCATTCCTTATCAGGAGAGCCCAGAGATTCCTAAATGAGCATGTGTGTGAGGCGGTAGCTACCATCAAGATACACAACCTGTAAATCCCAATCCTAATTATCTTCCCGTCCCTCTTCACATGCTCTCCAGCCATCTGGGCACGGCCAACACCCAGCCAGACACTGGAGCTATGTTTGCCTCCTCCCATTGCTTCCCTCTTTCCCGAAATCTGGTTACTTGCTAAATTCTCTCAGGATCCCTTGCTTAGGCTTTGTCCCGGCCCTCCCTTTGGCCCAGTCATTTGTGGCCAGGATTAGTTAATAACACTGGAGCTGCCCTACCAAAGAGGCTCAAGCTCCTTCACCTGGTCTCGCGACCTCCCCACTTCCGCCCACCCTCAGCCCAGGGCAGGCAGGTTTCCCTCACGCGGAAGAACCTCAGAGGTCAGATCACCAGGCCCCGCCCATCGACTCACAGGCGCAGGCTTAGACTGAGCGGGACGCAAAAGGGGCGGGACAGGGGAGGGGCCTGGCCTGGCTGGCTAATGGGAGCGCTGAACTCAAGGTCAGAGGTCACATGTTCCCGGTGGGCGGGATTTAGCCCTGTGAAGACCGGTAGGAGACGATTTTAATGCGGGTAAAATCTCTGAGAGGCCGAGGAGTAGAGGCAGCCAAGGCGTCCTTGAGCTGAAGGGACGGAAATACCGGGATGGACTAGAGTGGCAGCTGTAAAACCTCTGAAAACAGATTCGTGAGACCCCACTGATGTGGTCCTGAGGGGACAAAACCTCTCAAGCGGCTCCAGTTAGCCTGTTTAGGTGCCTGTTTAGGTGAGAATGGAGGGTGTAAGGTCACAGAAAGGCCAATGAGATTTCAGCCCACTAGCTACAAATTGTTTAGTGCAAGTTCGTGGAAGAATATATAAAATCCCCTCCTCAGTGACTTTACGTTGTTAAAGTAAGGTTTTTATGTCAGGGAGTGTTAAAGAGGAAAAATTAGATGCATTAGGGTGGTGGGAGGAGGTAGAAAACCAACCTGAGGATTCACACTCCCTTGTGTATGGCCTTTAATAATCTTAGGCTAATATTCCGAAATATATATGTGCAATTTTTATTTGTCAGTTATACCTCAGTTAAGCTGGTGGGAGGGGAGCATCTTGGAAAAGTTTACTTCTTTGGTCTCGCTCATAAAAGCCTGACCAAATTATCAATATTTTTCCGTTTTGGCTCCATACATATAGCAAGGAAGTAGCACAGGAAAAACAAAATCTTTACAAAGAGGTAAGGAAAAATATTTCAGGAATTGCTGCAATTCAGAAATTGGCTGTTTTAAAATACCTAATTTCCAACCATGGTTTTGCTTTGTTTCCCACCTTATATTTGATCTTAGAAATAAAGCCAATTTATCTCTCATCCTATCCATCCATCACTATAAGATGGATTCAGATATCTGTTAAGCAATGAAATCAAGTTGACAGATGAAAAAAAATCTAAGAATATATATTTAATGTACCATACCACAGATACTTTTATATCAACATTATTTTCATTATAGTTAAGTCATGGTATAAGTATTATTTATCATTAATTTTTATCATGAACTATAATTTCATAATTGAGTGGTTTTCTGCTCCTAGCTTTGCTATTTACCAACATTTAATTTTAATTTTTATATTCCCAGATGTTGAAATTTGTTCTGCTCTCAAAGAAAGAAGATATGTTTTCAGCGTTCAAATATTGTGCAATAGACTACTTATATGAGGTAGGTGTTAATTTATCACCTTCCATTTACTAACAGTTATGATATAAAAAGTGTTGCCTACATTTACTCTGTCATAATTTTGCAGTGGTTCTTAGATTAATCTTTAGCCTAATTATGTTGAGATTCATTTAATTCCACTTTTAATATACCTCAAAAACTAAAACACCTTTGGAGGAAAATAATTGACAATTTGAATTTGAAGCTGTCAGGAGAAAAAAAATGGAAGCTCTTTGCAAATTAGGGCTACTTTTATTAATAATCTTGAGGGCCTCCCTGGTGGCGCAAGGGGTTAAGCACCACACTATGAAGCAATTCGCATCCTCTGCAGCATGAGTTCGATCCCCGGGCAGGGAGCAACCCACAATGGTGCAGCAGACCTCTCCTGACTCGCTCCCTGTTCTCCTTCAGCATTGTAATTCAGTCAATCTGCCTGTTCTCACCCTCCGCATCTCTGGCCTGTACCCCAGCTCTTGTATGCATAAATAAAATCTTTATTTTTTTATTTTTTTAGATTTATTTATTTATACAAGAACTGGGGTACAGGCCAGATTCGCAGGAGGGTGAGAGGATTTACCAGAGACAGAGCAGGAAACAGAACAGGCAGAATGACAAAATACACTGCTGAGGGGAGCTGCGGGCGAGATAGGAGAGATCTGCCGCGCCATGTGGGATTCTCGCTGGCCGGCCGGAATCGAACCTGTGCTGCAGAGGCTGTGGACAGCTTCACAGTGCTGCAGCACTCAACTGCCTGCACCACCAGGGAGGCCCATAAATAAAATCTTTAAATAAAAAAAAAATCTTGAATTTATCCTTCTTGAAAGGAATGAGGCAAGAAGCAACCCCAGTTATTTTTGTGATAAAATAACAGTAACTGTATATTGACTGTTTGCTAAGGACTAGATTCTTTGCTCTTTTAATGATTATGTGCTCCATAATTACTCCCCAAGATAGATACTCTTTTTTTGTTTGTTTGTTTATTTATTTATATATTTATACAAGCACTGGGTACAGTCAGAAGCGAGGAAGGGTGAGAGAATTCACCAGAGCCAGAGTGGGGAGCAGAGCAGACAGAAGGACCGAAGTACACTGCTGAGGGGAGCAGCGGGCGGCAGGAGAGGTCTGCGCGCCATGTGGGACCCTCCTCCAGTGGCCGGGGAGCAGCCGGGGATCGAACTGGCGCTGCAGAGGATCGAACGAACTGGCGCTGCAGAGGCTGCTGGCAGCTTCGCAACCCAGCGCTCAACAGCTGCGCCACCAGGGAGGCCCAAGATAGATACTCTTAATACAGGTTTTACAACTTTACAGGTTGAAAAAAGAAAAAAAAAAACTTCTGAAGAAGTTAAATACCTTGTATAAAGCTGAGAATCAAGCCAGACACATTGTTAACATAGAGTAGATGTTATACAATGGCTTATTATTCCTATAATCTTAATTGACAAGTTAAATTTTGGTTTTCTTTATAACCTTGACCCCATGTACTGGGGAAAATAATTATTCCAATGTAACTAAAACTGTGTTACATTTTGCAGGAAATAAGGAAGACATATAGGCAACTCCAGATTTTATTGTTCCCTGTAACTGAGGGAACAAATGATATATGTCATTACAGCATATACATAGTAAGGAATAAGAGTCGTTGTTACACAAAAATATTTATGAATATATTGACCACTCACAAAATTAGACATCCTCGAACTTTTATCTTTGCCCACAATACCTTAGTTTCTTCTTCTGTACCCATACCCCATGATACAATACAAATATTGTATTCCAATGAATGGCAAATTTTACAAAAGAACAAGGATTTGTAAAATTCATCAGAATAGTATTGAATGAAAATAATATAGATTTAAAAGAATATAAAAGTTAAATATTCTGAATATTGAGAGATGTTAAATTTGATAAATACATTAAAATATTTTATATTTCTTACACAGAATGCAGTTAAAAAGAAGCTTTGTGTAGATGCTTTTTTACTTCGAATCCCTTCATGTTTATATCAAGATGAAAATTACACAGGCATTATTGATAATAAATATAGGAGGCCATGGACAAGAGGTATATTCTCTATTTCTCAAGAATTTGTTCTAAAATTATTTTAGAAATTATTAAGAAAATGCAGTGCTTTTCTCATTAAATAAAAACACATGCGCTTATTCATATCAGAATTCATATCAGAATATTATAAGTTAATATTTTTATGACAATTTAGGTAACAAAGTAAGGAATTGAAAAGCCTATACTCGATATGAACACAACAAGTAAAAGATAAGAAGATGATGTAGTCTTAAAACATTCTAATTATAAATGTACTGTAATAGGATCTTGCTCAATTGTATGAGGGTTAAGTTTTAATGAGCCACAAAATCATTTTGAAATATATATGGAGGAGACCTGGTGGTCTATGGTAAAGAACTATGGGTACATTTAAGGAGATGTGAATCTATTTCCCTATACAAGGATGTTTCAAAAATAAAACTGAACAAAACAAACCCAAAAATCATATACAGTGATGAAAACTAATGTTATCTAAATAAAAAACAGAAAAGAAAGATGCAGTCTGCATGGAGGAGTTAAGTCAGTTGGCAACATTTGTCTAACCAGTCACTGTTACAGGTGGTAAGGATAATGTTACTAGTAAGACAAAGAAATACTCTGTGCTCAGTGAATTTTTAGACTGGTAAAGAGGATGCAGTAATAAAGCTATTAAGTATATAAAGTAATAGTTGGTATTGATAAATGTCTAGAGAAATGTATTGATAAATGCCATAGGAAATTTCAGGAGTAGGGGTTAGAAAAGTGGTTAGAAAAAACTCTGTGAAGAGGTGGCCATTTGATATGAGAGCTGAATGAGGAGAAGAAAATAATCACAAAGAGATGAGTAGGAGAAGCATTTCAAGCATGGGCAAAGTATCTAACTCAGACATAAACATATGTAAGTACCAGATTTTAGACCATTGTGACCAGTTCATAAGAAGGGGAGATCTGAGAAGTAGGCAGTTTCTGAATAATATAAAACTTTGCAGACCATAGTATGGAGTTTGTTTATTAGTTTTCTTTTGTTGTCAGCTGTGGGAAGTCATTGAGCATTTTTAAACATAATTTATGTTTTTAAAAGATTGACCTGAGGGAATATGATGATAATTGTAAAAATGGAAGATCTCACTGAGGTTGGAAATAACACAAAGAATAGCTATCATCTAACTGCTTGTCTAAAAGTACAGAAGGAAAAAAAAAACAGGTTTATCATTTCTTCCTATTTTCCTTTACTTTTTTGAAATAATAGCAGGAACAGCCAAATTTTATTGGGCATTTACTGTCTGCCAGACACTGTTCAGAGCAATATATGTGTTCCATTACATTTATTTAATCCATATAACAGCTCTGTGAAAAGACTTACTCCTAACATGTAGATATGGGAATTGAGATACAAAGAGATTAAGAGATTTGGCCAAGATTATACTGTTATTAAGTACCAATACAAGTATTAAAATCTAGGCAGGGTGATTCTAGAACCTGAACTCTTTTTCTTTTTTAATTAAAGTATCATTGTTTTACAACTTTGTTAGTGTTTTAGAAGGATAGGATCTACCCGCTCTGGTGTAGTCGCCATAATGCAGCCACCACTGAAGTACCCACAGCCCCCCACCATAGTTCACTGTGCTCTCTCCCCACCCTATTCTCACCCCTAGCTCTCCTCCTCCCCCAGAACCTGTACTCTTAGCCTCTAAACCTACATATTTTTTCATTGAGGCACAGGATTAGGAATTAAATGATTTGTTCAAAGTAGCAAAATGATTAAAAAGTAATATTGGTTATTATAATCCGTGACTTCTTACTCAGTGACTTCTTTGGACACTAATAGATCATGTGGTCCCTCTCCTTAAGGAACCTAGAGTCTAGTTTGGGACACAAGCTATAGATGCATAACATTTTACAGTACGACTGTGCATTTCTGACTCTGTTTCAAATTAACCAGAGTTAAGTGCTACTGATGAGTTTATGGTGCTTCAGCAGGAATATATCAGAGTGAGGTGAACTGGTTATAAAGGCTTTTTGAGAAACAATATGAGCTGCTGGACAGGACCATCTGAAATGGTAGTGCTATGTAAGCAAAAGAGAGACTAAAAATAAAGATGGTGTGTTCAGATGATTTTGTTTTGACTGTGGTTGAAGTTTTTTTTTGGGGGGGGAGGGCTTGTAATGACAAGAATGATTACTCAATCTGGTATCACTTTGGAAAAAACTACATTTGCAAACAAATAAAGATAATGCCATATTGAAAAACATGCATGTTTGGCATCCTTATATTAATTGTTAAAAGAAAACTCTAGATACTAATAGTTTTCTTCTTTCTAGTCTCAGCTGTTTCAGTTTGGGGCATGACTGATAGCTCAGTCTTGGATCAATGGAAAGCAAGTCTCTTTCTGGAGGATTTTCTTGAGAAGTATGTATCTTTAACCTCACATTTCTCCTTTACATCTAGAAGATAAACAGTAAATACTCTAGACAGAAAAATCCCCTTTCTTTATTTTGTTCCATCAAATTTTTATTTATTTGCCATTCATTTACATCAATATCTAAGTTTGGTATATAGTTTCACATGGCAACATCTACAGATGTTTCCCTTGACCTCCACCAAAGCTCCAGTGCCAAGATGCTCTCACCTTATGCCTCAGTACCCTCCTCCCTCCCTGCCTTCCATATGGGAGCCACCACCATTTTCAAAGAGTCTGAGAGTTAATTTTGTTGTTTGTTTTCTTCAGTTACTTATATTCTATAACTGAGAGAAGTCATACGGTCATTGTCTTTTGCTTTTTCACTTATTTCACTTAACTAGTCACTTCAAGATCCATCCATATTGTCCCAAAAGGCACTGTTTTATCTTTTTATTTATTTTTTTAATTAAAAAAATTTTTTTAGATTTTTTTAAATTTTAACATTTATCATTTTTTACATTTGTAGACAATATTTGCTTCCCCCCAACCCCTCAGATTGAGTCCTCATAGAATCTCCTTCCCCAAGGCACCCATGTACCATCACCACAGTCCCCTTTGCTCCTCCCTCCCTCCCTCTCACCCCTCTCCCTCCTCCTCCCCTGCAGGACGTCTCAGGTTTATAATTGTCTGTTTTTGCTTTGTTGTGTTTTGTACTGTTATTATTTTTTTACATTGTTGTCTTATTTGGTTCCCCTATATTCCTGCTATAAGTGAAACCATCCAATATTTTTCTTTTTCCTTCTGGCTTATTTCACTGAGCATAATTCCTTCTAGCTCCATCCACATTGCTGCGAATGGCATGAGTTTGTCTTTTTTGATTGCTGAATAATATTCCATTGTATGAATAATATTCCATAATAATATACCACATCTTTGTGATCCAGTCATCTATTTTTGGGCATTTGGACTGTTTCCAGGCTTTATTGTAAATAGTGCTGCAATAAACATAGGTGTACAGGTGCTTGGCACATATCAAAAAAACAAGCAACAACAAATGTTGGCGAGGATGCGGTGAAAAAGGAACTCTCCTACATTGCTGGTGGGAGTGCAAACTGGTCCAGCCATTGTGGAAAGCTGTCTGGAGGTTCCTCAGTCTACTGAAAATAGAGCTACCGTACGATCCAGGCAATTCCACTCCTAGGGATCTACCCAAAGGACACAAAAACAGTGATTCAAAAGAGCACCTGTTTTATCTTTTTAAATAGCTGAATAGTAGTCCATTGTGTATATATACCATAATTTCTTTATCTAGAGGACTGTCAGTATGCATTTGGTTGATTCCATGACTTGGCTATTGTGAATAATACTGCTATGAAGATAGGAGAGCAAAGTCTTTTTGTATTTGTGTTATAGTCTTCAGACAATTACCTAGTAGTGGTATTGCTGGATCATATGATTTCTTTTTTTATTTTTATTTTTTTTGAAAAGTACCCGTACTGTTTTCCATACAGGTTGCACCAATTTACCAAAAATAAATGAGTTCCTTTTTCTCCACACTCACCAACACTTGTTTCCAGTCTTTTTTATACGACCATTCTCACAGAAGCCAGAGGATATCTCCTTGTGGTATCTTATAATAAGATATGTGATATAATAAGTGATGTTGAATGTTTTTTCATGTGCCTGTGTGCCTTCTTCAGAAGTGTCTATTTAGGTCTGTTGACATTTTTCAATTTAATTATTAGTTCTGTTGTTGAATTGTATAAATTCTTTATCTTGGAAATTAACCCCTTGTCTGGCATGTGATATGCAAATATTTTCTTTCAGTTCATGATTTGCCTTTCTGTTGTTGTCTTGGTTTCTTTTGCTGTACAAAAGCTTCGTAGTTTAATGTAGTCCAATTTGTTTATTTTTGCTTCTGTTTCCTTTGTGGTTGGAGATGGGTCCCCAAATGTTTCTGAGGTTGATATCTAGGAGTGTATTGCCTGTTTTCTTCTACGTATATTTTATGGTTTCAGGTCTTATATCCAAGTCTTTAATCCATTTAGAATTAATTTCTGTGCATGGAGTTAATGAAAAAATTTCATTTTTACATGTCCAAGTCTCTCAGTACTATTTGTTGAAGAGGCTTTCCTTTCTCCATTGTATAGTTTCCTCCTTTGTCATAGATTAACTCACCATGTTTGTGTGGGTTTATTTCTGGGCTTGCTGTTCTATTCGATTGGTATGTGTTTCTGTTTTTGTTTTGATACTGTACTGTTTTGATTACTATCTCTTTGTAGTTTGAAGTCAGGCAACATGATACCGCCACTCTTTTCTCTCAGGATTGCTTTGGCTAATCTAGGTCTTTTGGGGGTTGCCTACACATTTTAGAATTGTTTGTTCTGTTTTCTTGAAAAATATCTTTGGAATTTTGATAGATATTGCATTAAGTCTGTAAATTGCTTTAGGTAATATGGCCATCTTAAATATTTATTCTTTTAATCCATGAGCATGGAGTATTTCTCCATTTCTTCATATCTTTTATTTATTTTGACAGTAGATCCCTTCATTTATATCTTCAAAACTTTTCTTCTTTTATCTGATGAAAAATCTCAAATGTGAACTACAAAGGAAAGGTTAATAGAAGTGATTTATATTTTCTTGTTAATGTTCCCTCACACAAATTAACTGTTATCCATGCATTTGTGTTGTAAAAGATCACAGAAACATAGCGAATATGGTATTATGCTTTTAATAAATAAATAAACTTTCTGTAGAAAGTATCTATAGAATATTTTATATTAAAAATGGCCCTTTTGTGTAGTATAAATGCAGGTTTAAGGCTGATTTTCTACCTTATTTTGAATTGTTATTTCAGTCCTTTATCACATTTTTACTGGATATCATCCTGTGTGTTCAATACTAGCTATAAAAATGAATGACATATGGGCCTCCCCGGTGGTGCAGCGGTTGAGCGCTGGGTTGCCAAGCTGCCTGCAGCCTCTGCAGTGCCGGTTCAATCCCCGGCCACTGGGCGAGGGTCCCACATGGCACGCAGACCTCTCCTGCTGCCCGCTGCTCCCCTCAGCAGTGCACTTCGTCATTCTGCCTGTTCTGCTCTCCGCTTTGGCTCTGGTGAATTCTCTCACCCTCCCGCATGCTTGTTACTGTACCCAATGCTTGTATAAATAAACAGATCTTAAAAAAAAAAAAAAAGAATGACATATAATTTCTACTCTCAAAGAATGCAAGAAAATGGGGACATAGAGATTTAGAAATAAATAATTATAACACAGTGTGGGAAGTACAGTGTCAGAGATAGGAACATAGAAGATAATATGAAGAACAATCTACATTGTTAATCTACACGCAATTTAGAGACATCATTGCAAATGTAAATAACTTAGTCTATTGCTTCACTTCATGCAAAGAGTATTAATCAAACTCAGGAAGAATTTAGTCATTATTCACACATTCAAGTTTGAATAATTTAAGTTTTCCTTAGTTATACTTGAGAGAAATAAGTAACCAACTAAAATGTGCCCTTAAAAGGAAGAGGTATGTTTTTCTTCTTTACTTTCCTTCTCCTGATGCTGCAGTACAGATGTAATGACTTGCTCCAGCAACCATTTTGAACTGTTCTGACCAACTAAACCCAGGAATGGCAGAGTGGAACAAAAGGAATTTCTGTGCCTGACAAATTATCAGAGCTTTTAACCTCCAGATTTTTTATGTGTGTTTAAGCCATTATTAATTTCTGTTTAGAGTCATGCAGTACAATTTAATTTTTTTATAGACTTTGTTTTTTAGAGAAATTTTAGTTCAAAGCAAAATTGAGCAGAAGGTACAGAGACTCCACACTGAAATTTTATTTTAAATAATTCAGGAACTACAGTTTTATTGACCAGCACTATCTAGATTTCCTCAATCTTGATATTTCTTTCTTTTTCATTTCTGTTTCTTGTTCCTATTTTTTGTTACTCCTTAATATTGATTTTAAGACCTCAGTTCTTTTACTACTTTGTTAGTGTGCTATGTTTTAATATTTATGGACATTTTTGCCATATGTTTCTAAAAATCTTATTTCTGCAAAATTGCACACTAAAACTAACAGTGCATAAATTAGCTCTTATAGTCGAAACTATGCAACTTGCAACAGAACACTAACAACAAAAAACTATTCTAATGTTTTCAAAACCACCAGCATCGGTTAAATTCCTAATAAGTAAATACATATTAGAGTAAATATAGCACTTTCAAAAAATGAAGATAGCTTGATGGATTGGCTAAAGTGGGGGTCAAAGCAATTGAATTACGGAGGCTAGGACAAATGGGAAAAGATTAGGGAGAACATTTAGTAAGCTTCCTAGCTTCTAGAACAGAACACATGGCCAAATAGAACATGACAAAGAACATGTAATAGTATTCTCTGCTCTTCTGTCATGCTGCATTCAGGTGAATGCAGTTGAATGTAGGATATTGCACACACATTTATTTCCTACTTCTAACAACTATGTGAGGTGAACGTTACTATCCCAATATTGCATGTAAGAAACTAAGGCTCAGGTTAAGTAATTTACAATGATCACTCAACTAGTGAATTGTTGGAACTGAAATTCATACCACCAGAATTTTTGTCTGGTTTGATTTATATAACAGCTTTATTGAGATGTAATTCATATGCATATAATTCAACCATTTTTAATGTTCAATGTAATGGTTTTTAGAATGTTCAGAGTTGTACAGCCATCACCACATTCAATTTTAGAGCATTTCTATCAACACAGAAGAAAATACTATACCTATTAGCAGCCACTTCCCATTCTTTCCCCTCTCTTTCTGATAGACAACCATTAGTTTATTTCTGCCTCTTTAGATTTACCTGGACTAAAGATTTAAAATTCTAAAAATTCCAAAGATATTTTTCAATCTAAAAGATGACTTTTAGATTTACTGAAATTCTGCACCCAATTCCAGCATGTGGGGCTGAAGTTTTCTCACAACAATAAGCAAGACTCTGACACCAGCAGGATGTCATAATTTTTTAATTTCTCCTTGAGTGATGGCACTATGGGTAATTTTTCTCACTCTGTTGGAATTTTGTAATTTTTCTACAATGAACATGTACGATATGTTAATGAAAATGTTTTACAATAGGACATATATAAAATCTGTATTTTTATATTATAGAAAAACAGGCACAGAAATGGCGACCTATATTAACTGTGACTTTGAGGAAATTGTTCCAAGTTCAAACCCAAACTCCCAAACTGAAGTAGAGGAAGCCAGCATGTACACCCATAAGGACTACAGTGAAGTATTTACACTTGTCAGCTGTTTAGAAAAATGTCCAACACTTCAAGCACAGAACCAAGGTAAAATATTTGTTATTTCCCTTGTTATTCAACATTTCTTACTGATAGATACATTTTCATTTCAGTGAGATTTTTCTTTTAATTGGTTGAAGTTTTTGTTTTATTAAAAATATTCTTGGGCCTTCCCTGATGGTGCAGGCAGTTGAGCGCAGTGCTGTGAAGCTGTCCGCAGCATCTGCAGCGCCAGTTCAACCCCAGCCGGCCAGCAAGAATCCTACATGGGGTGGCAGACCTCTCCTATCTCGCCCGCTGCCCCCCTCAGCAGTGTATTTCAGTCATTCTGCCTGTTCTGTTCCCTGCTCTGTCTCTGGTGAATCCTCTCCCGCTCCTGCGCATCTGGCCTGTACCCCGGTTCATGTATTCATGAATAAATAAATCTTTAAAATATATATATATTCTTTGACAAAATTATAATTCTAAGCTTTATTTACCTCATTAAGGAAACACTTTTTCTTTCATATAATCCCCTTTTGCAATTTAGATTGTTTTAGGGGGGCTTAAGTATACTGGGCTTCAAAATAGCTTCAGGGACTTGATCATAGAGTACTCACAACATATTGCTACAATGATATTAGCATCTGGGTACAGATCTGATAACATGTCTATCTGATGTTACATTAAATTATGGTTATATTTTATTTTCTAAAATGTGCCTGGTATTTTCAGTCTCATCTAGTTTATGTGAAGCTATAATTGAAAGTAGAAATGGAATATTGCAATGTTGGGTCAGGAAATTCATTTTTTATGGTTTTTACAATTTGTTTATTATTTAATAATAATTAAAAGTATATTTTGTCCAAACTTTGTTTCAAATTTCTCACCTTTTTAGAGGGTACTGAATTCTCTCAATAGTATAAAAACTTGATTAGAACTACCTCTTTTATATGTATAATAATGTATTCCTTTTTTAAATTAAAAAAGTTAAGTTTCTTTCATATAATTGCTACCATAATTTAAGATATGCTATAGCTTGAGCGTGAAAAATAATTTGCCTTTTTTACTGCTATTTTTATGTAGATACGTAAATTGTGTATAAGATTTTTAGTATTGATATATAGGTATGATGATAAATAGAGAACTAAATCCCTCATAGTTTGAGATGTAGAGGGGAGGAAGAGGAAGAGGAGAAGGAGGAGTGAGAGAGAGACTGAGACAGAGACAGAGACAGTGACTGAACTTGAGAGTATGATATACAGTAGGAAGAGCCTGAATTAGGAGTCAGATTTGATCATAGTCCAAATCTATTCTTAAAAGTGGTACAATTTTGTGAAAGTTGTTAAATTTACTTCTTATTTCTTGTCAAAAATTTTGCTTGGACTAGCTTATGCATGCACGTAAAGAGGTTATCTGTAAAAAAACATGGCATCCAAACATTACTATCACTATTAATATTGCATACTGCAAACTACTATTGGCAAATTTCATAATATTTATCATCAGCTAGCATCAGAAGCTTCTTTACTATATGTCGCTGATGAAAATATGCTTGAATTTCCCAAATATATATGAATTGTCTATCTCTTTTATTTCCTTAAGGAGCTTGTCATTCTACTTCACTTTATAAATTTAGATTTGCAATTTCATGTCCTTTCTTAGCAGTTATATTGATTGCTACCAGATTTGTAGATACTACGATTTCACTGTCTAAATCAAAAGGGACATATTATGCTTTGAAGTTCAATTGATGTGATACTATAAATTTGCTTTGTTTCATAAGAATATAACTAGGGCCTCCCCGGTGGCACAGCAGTTGAGCACTGGGTTGCGAAGCTGCCCGCGGCCTTGGAGGCGCCGGTTCGATCCCCAGCTGCTCCCCGGCCACCGGAGGAGGGTCCCGCATGGCGCGCAGACCTCTCCTGCCGCCCGCTGCTCCCCTCAGCAGTGTCCTTCGGTCCTTCTGCCTGCTCTGCTCCCGGCTCTGGCTCTGGTGAATTCTCTCACCCTCCCGCACTTCTGACTGTACCCAGTGCATGTATAAACAAAAACAAACAAATAAATAAATAAAACATGCCTCTATAAAAAAAACAAAAAAGAATATAACTAATTACTATGTCATAAGTTAATTTCAAATGTTTATTTCCTTTTATTGTTGATTCATTGACATGTACTAATTTTTCTATAATATTCACATTATTTATCAATAAATATAATCATTTTGTGAAGATATTTTCAGATATAGAAGTAAATGCAAATGTAGCTCAAATAAAATTTTATTATATTTAAAGTATACAACATATCCATCACTTCATGTATTTATCTTTTTTTAAGTACTACTTCCTCTCTTAGCAAATTTCATTTATACCCTGCAGTATTATCAACTGTAGTCACCATGTTATACATTTATTCCTCAGACTTCACTTTTTTTTTTTTAAAGATTTATTTATTTATTTATACAAGTACTGGGTACAGTCAGAAGTGCGGAAGGGTGAGAGAATTCACCAGAGCCAGAGCGGGGAACAGAACAGGCAGACCGACGAAATACACTGCTGAGGGGAGCAGCGGGCGGCAAGAGAGGTCTGCATACCAAGTAGGACCCTCGCCCAGCGGCTGGGGATCGAACCAGCGCTGCAGAGGCTATGGGCAGCTTCGCAGCCCAGCCCTCAACCGCTGCACCACCAGGGGAGGCCCAGACTTCACTTTTTAACTGGAAGTTTTACCAGCCCTTTACCAACCTTTCCTAGTTCCCTCATATCCCCACACCAGTCCCTGACAGCCATTCTACTTGCTATTTCCTTGAGTTTCACTTTTTTCATTTTAAGATTTCATAAAAAAAGATTTCATAAACAAATGATACTGCGCAGTGTTTCTTGTACTCTGTCTGTCTTGTTTCACTTAGCATAATGCCTTCCAGGTTCAGCCATATCACAAATGGGTGTTCTCTTTTTTTTTTTTTTTAAAGATTTATTTATTTATGCATATAAGAGCTGGGGGCTGTAAGACAGAGGTGTGAGGGAGCAGAGAGGGTGGTGAGAGGATTCACCAGAGATAGAGTGGGGAGCAGAACAGGCAGATCTACTGAAATACACTGCTGAGGGAAGCAGCTGGCAAGACAGAAGAAGTCTGCTGCACCATGTGGGTCAGCTCCTTGGCCAGGATCGAACTTGAGCTGCAGTGGCTGTGAATTGCTTCATAGTGCTGAGACTTAACCTACTGCACCACCAGGGAGGCCCTGGGTGTTCTTTTTTAAGGCTGAACAATATCCTTGTTGTGTATGTGTCATCTTTATTTATCCATTAATCTGTCAATAGACATTTAGTTCTTCGCATACCTTGGCTATTGTGAAAATGCTGTAGTGAACATGGGAGGGTAGATAGTTCTTCAAGACAGTGATTTTATTGGCCATCTGTTTCTTCCTTTACAGCATTTATATCTTTTTTTTTTTTTGTCTTACTATGCTAACTAGGACGTTAAGTTATTCAGTAAAAGTAGTAATAATTGCCATTCTTGTTCTCAACAATAGAAGAAATACTTTAATGTCTTACCATTAAAAATTATGTACTCTTTTACCCCCTTTTCTTCCCTTCCTACCCCTGTATACCTCAGATCTCTGGTCAGCTTTCAAGGGTTGATTTTAATGTTTGTCTTTGTCTAACCATTTGTTTGACTTTTCTGTAATCCACATATATGTGACAGCATCTGGTATTTTCTTTCTCCTCTGGTTTATTCACTTAGCATAATACCTTCCAGCTCCATCCATACAGCTGTGTGGTTGTTTAAAAGTGAGAATAAAAAGCATTTATTTCCAGGGCTTTCCCTGGTGGCACAGGCACTTGAGTGCAGCGTTGTGAAGCTGTCTGCAGGCTCTACAGTGCCTGTTCAATCCCGGCTGGCTGGCGAGGGTCCCACATGGCACAGCAGACCTCTCCTGTCTCACCCGCTGCTCCCCTCAGCAGTGTATTTCGTCAGTCTGCCCGTTCTGTTCCCTGCTGTGTCTCTGGTGAATCCTCTCACCATCCCGCGAATCTGGCCTGTACCCCAGTTCTTGAATGAAGGAATGAATGGATAAATAAATAAATAAATCTTTTAAAAAAAGATAAATATCACAGTGAACCCTCAAAATTCCATTAAAAAAAGGCATTTATTTCCAAATGTTTTGGCAATTGTCCCAGTATTATTTCCTTTCCCCATTGATTAGAAATGCCACTTTGGGCCTCCCCTGGTGGCACAGGCAGTTGAGCACAGTGCTGTGAAGCTGCCCGCAGCCTTTGCAGCGCCAGTTCGATCCCAGCCGGCCCATGAGTGTCCCACATGGCACAGCAGACCTCTCCTGTTGTGCCCACTGCTCCCCTCAGCAGTGTATTTCGTCAGTCTGCCTGTTCTGTTTCCCACTTGGCCTCTGGTGAATCCTCTCACCCTCCGGCAAGTCTGGCCTGTACCCCAGTTCTTGTATAAATAAATACATAAATCTTTAAAAAAAAAAAAAAAGAAAGAAATGTCACTTATATCATCTGCCAAATCCTTGTTCGCATTAGAGTTTATTTGTGAATATTTATTTTCTACTGATTTGTCTATTGTGTCAGTATTTTATAATTTTAAGTATTTAATAAATAAATACAACATGTTTTAATCATCTTTTTTGTTATTTTTTCTTCCAGACTTACTTTGTAATCAGTTTTTTGAAGTTCTGTAACATCTTTTGAGAAATTGAGATGTTATTTGGACCTTTTAACTTTTTTCCCCATGGTCTTTCTAGCGAAGAAAATGTTTTATCTTGCCTTTTAAGTTTTTTTAATGATCCCCATTAAAGTTTATGGTTTCTTCCATATATTTTCTGCACATTTTTGTTATGTTTATTCCTTGATAGTTGGTTATGTATGATTTTTTTATTAACTTTTGATTAGGTTTTTATGTATATTTGAAAACCACTGATCGTACGTTTTCTTTTTTTTTTTTTAAATAATAAATTTTATTTTTATATTCCCCCATACAACTGCACATGCCCCATTCTGACCCCAATCCCTCCCCTCCCGGCCCCCACCCCCCAAAAAGTGTCTCTGGTTCATAGTTTTTGTTGATTTTGATTTTCACTTTCTTATAGTTATTCATTTTCCTGATCCCTTATTTAAGTTTTCTAGATTCCTGCTATGAGTGAGACCATCCGATATTTTTCTTTTTCTTTCTGGCTTATTTTGCTGAGCATGATCCCTTCCAGCGCCATCCATGTTGCTGCAAATTGCATGTGTTTATCTTTTTTGAATGCTGAGTAATATTCCATGGTATATATGTACCACATCTTCTTGATCCAGTCATCTATTTTTGGGCATTTGGGCTGTTTCCAAAGCTTAGCTATTGTAAATAGTGCTGCTATAAACATAGGGGTGCAGGTGTTCTTTGGAATTGATGTTTCTGTGTCCTTTGGGTAAATACCTAGGAGTGGAATTGCTGGATCATATGGAAGCTCTATGTTTAGTAGGTCAAGAAATCTCCACACAGCTCTCCATAGTGGTTGGACCAGTTTGCATTCCCACCAACAGTGCAGGAGAGTTCCTTTTTCTCCACAACCTTGCCAACATTTGTTGTTGCTAGTTTTTTTAATATGTGCCATTCTCACTGGTGTAAGATGGTATCTCATGGTAGTTTTGATTTGCATTTCCCTGATTACAAGTGATGTTGAACATTTTTTCATATGTCTGTTGGCCATTTGCATTTCCTCTTCAGAGAAGTTTCTTTTTAGCTCTTCTGCCCATTTTTTGACTGGGTTATTTTCTTTGTTGTTGTTGAGTCTACATTATTAAAATGGCCATCCTACCAAAAGCAATATACCAATTCAATGCTATTCCAATCAAAATTTCAATGTCATTCTTCAAAGAAATAGAACAATTATTGATGAAATTCATATGGAATCACCAAAAACCCCGAATAGCCAAAGCTCTACCGAAAAAAAAAGAAGGAAATGGAGGCATCACACTCCCAGACTTCAAACTATACTACAAAGCCATAATCATCAAAACTGCATGGTATTGGAACAAGAACAGACATACAGACCAATGGAATCGAATAGAAAATCCAGAAATAAACCCACAGATTTATGGTCAACTAATCTTTGACAAAGGAGCAAAGACTATGCATTGGAGCAAAGAAAGTTTGTTCAATAAATGGTGCTGGGAAAACTGGGTTGCTACATGCAAAAGAATGAAGCTTGACCACCACCTCACACCATACACAAAAATCAACTCAAAATGGATTAAAGAACTAGAAATAAGACCTGAAACCATAAAATACATAGAAGGAAATATAGGTGAAACACTACGTGATCTGCATATCAAAGACATCTTTACAGACACATCACCCAAAGCAGTGATAGTGAAGGCAAAGATAAACAGCTGGGACTACATCAAATTAAAGAGCTTCTGCACAGCAAAAGAGACAATAACAAAAAGAGAAACCCCACCAACTGGGAGAACATTTTTGCACCCAACACTAATGATAAAGGACTGATCACAAAAATCTGATCGTACTTTTTCTATCAAACACTTCAGTGAACTACTTCATTTTTCATTTAGTTATCATGGGTTCTGTAGGTAGACCAAAAAAGTATCTCCTGCAAAGAAAAAGACTTGCTTATTTCCTATAAATAAACCTCTTTTTTCTGCTTCTTGTAGAGACTAGACAAAATTTTGTTTCCTCAGGACAATTTAACAATGCTCTACAATAAAGGGAAACAGTGTTCTCATATTTGTATTATAATAGCTGTATTAAAGTAAGACCCCCAGGGAATAAGACATACAAGTAAAGAATGTAACAGACAGACATAGACAATAAAAATGTAAGAAAGTAGCTCCCTCGGTAAAAGAATCTGTAAAGATTATTATTGCTTATGGTGTAATGCTGCCCTCAAGTGGTTCCAATCAGAAAAGGAGAGTTTTGAAACAAAACCTCCTAACTGATAACTGGCTGTCCCTGTTCCCAGAAACACTAGAAGGAGCCTAGAGGAAGCGAATTCTAGAGGGTCTGTGTTTGGAAGTGGAAGTTAAGACAGAGATATATGCTATTGCTGTTTGGGTTTTTACTATTAATTTAATTAGTATTTGCACAATAGAGGTATGAATGGACCATCTTCAAATTCTAGTCTCAGATAAGCTCTGCTTTGACATGAAATTGACTAGTTTTCTTTGGTGCCAAATTTGTCATGGGAATCTCGTGACCTCAAGAGTATCAGGAACTCAACAGGTTCAGATAAACAATCTTTCAGGAGGCTGCTCTGTAGGTTCTCCCTTGGCATTTCATGTTAACCAGGCAAAGGGATATTCCCCAGCTGCCTGCTTTATAACAACTTTGTTTTTAAGTACAAGTGTATCAGTGGTATGGTTGGTCATGAAAGACATCACACCATGCTATCCCTTTCATGTCAGGCCACTGCCCAGAACAATGTGGCTTTTGCTTTTGGGAATTTGACTTTCTGAGTAGTGCTTCATGTGAATTTAAATTTTCCTTTCCTCTCAGGAGCTTATTGAAAAATGGGGGTCAGTTATATATTTCCTCTTTTAGCTCAGAAACAAAGCATTGACACAGCTGAGATCCGAAAGTAATCCAAACATGGTCAACATGGTAGTGTGGGGTACAGAGGAGCAATAATTCCAACAATTATCTGTTTGGCAATAGTGATTCCTGGTACATAAAATATATCACCCTTCTCAAGTAGATACTGTGCTTTAGAACTTTCATTGTAATTAATTTTATAACAACCATTTTGAATAACTTTACAGTGGTAGAATTAGAGTTGGTCTCATTTTGTAGGCTTTGTAGACCAACTTCATTCTTACATGTCATTGTCTCTGAGGAGACCTTAAGAGGTAAAGTGAGCCCTTTTGGCTAGAACCATCACCTTCCCATAAGTTGCTGGCATAACCAACACAAAGGGGAAAAAGAGAAAACTGTACCATATGTTCTCTAGGCCTTTGGGGAAATATGGAATTGTTCCTTTGGTTACATGCATGCAAACCTATAAACAAGGGGATAGGCATTGTTCAAAAAAGAAGGCCCCACAAATTTTAACATGGCAAAACTGGAGGAGTCAATAATATTGCCCAGCATGCAGGAAGTAAAAGGCAAAATTCTTTTTTTCATTTTTATTTATTTTTTCATGTATTTTTTATTTTAACATTTATCCTTTTTTTTTTTTTTTTACCTTTTTTTAGAAAATATTTGCTTCCCCTCACCCCCTCAGATTGAGTCCCCATAGAATTTCCTTCCCCAAGGCACCCATGCACCATCACCACAGTCCCCTGTGCTCCTTCCTCCCTCCCTCTCAGCCCTCTCCCTCTTCCTCCTTTGCAGGATGTCTCTGGTTTATAATTGTCTGTTTTGCTTTGTTGTGTTTTGTACTGTTATTATTTTTTTACACTGATGTCTTATTTGGTTCTCCTATATTCCTGTTATAAGTGAAACCATCCAATGCTTTTATTTTTCCTTCTGGCTTATTTCACTGAGCATAATTCCTTCTAGCTCCATCCACGTTGCTGCAAATGGCATGAGTTTATCTTTTTTGATTGCTGAATAATATTCCATTGTGTATATGTACCTCATTGTCTTGATCCAGTCATCTCTTTTTGGGCATTTGGGTTGTTTCCAGGTTTTACCTATTGTAAATAGTGCTGTAATAAACATAGGTGTACAGGTGCTCTTTTGAATCACTGTTTCTGTGTCCTTTGGGTAGATCCCTAGTAGTGGAATTGCCGGATCGTATGGTAGCTCCATTTTTAGCAGGTTGAGGAACCTTTCCTCAGTGGTTGGACCAATTTGCACTCCCGCCAGTAATGCAGGAGAGTTCCTTTTTCACCACATCCTCGCCAACATTTGTTGTTGCTTCTTTTTTTGATATGTGCCATTCTTACTGGTGTAAGGTGGTATCTCAGTGTGGTTTTGATTTGCATTTCCCTGATGATAAGGGATGTTGAACATTTTTTCATATGCCTGTTGGCCATTTGCATTTCCTCTGGAGAAATGTCTTTTGAGTTCTCTGCCCATTTCTTGACTGGATTGTTTATTTTGTTTTTGTTGAACCCTGTGAGTTCTTTGTATATCTTTGTGATCAGTCCCTTATTAGTTGGATGGAGTGCAAAGATTTTTTCCCAATCAGTGGGGTGTCTCTCTGTTTTGGTTAATGTCTCTTTGGCTGTACAGAAGCTTTTCAGTTTAATGTAATCCCAGGTGTTTATCTTAGGCAAGATTCTTGACAGGATAATAAATGTTACTGAACATATGAAGCACTCTTGCAGCCAAGATAGCTTCCTGAAACACGTGAAGGAAAATAATCAGGAAACAAAAGGAAGCCAAAAGGAAAGATTCTTGGGTTTAATTGGAGCACCTGCCTACTCTACCCAGGGAAGTGCACTTCGTGTGTGCTTCTTCCCAATGGATGGGAACCTGAGCTACTAGAACCCATTCTCTATAAATTGATGCCATAAAAGATGTGAAAAAAATATATAAATTTCCAGACTATTTTATAAAAAATTGTAAAATAACACAGGGGAGAAAATACGAGGGTCAGTGTAAGTTAAATGCTTTTGTTTTTCAGTTTTGTTTAGGCTACCCCTGGCTACTTTGAAGCCAGTGGTAGTCCATGAAATATTTTCCTCCATTGATTAAACTAATCTTTGTTGAAAAAAGTGAGCCACTACAATTCTTTCTGGATATTTGGTTACTACTCAGTATACGAAATAATACTAAAATTTATTGAACTTTTACTTATGGACCAGTGCATGTTTTATTTATATGTATAGTACAATAAAGAACTAAAGAATTAAAAATGAGTTAAAACACCCACTCTATTTAATGGTTGACTACAAAAGCTATCTAGATCCCTTTGTAATCTTTTAGTTTCATTCTTATTTTTTTATATTTTTTATTTCTTTTCAGATTTTTCTATTGATGATGAAGAAATTATTTTTGTAAATAACTCAGCCTGTAAAAATCAGCTACCAACTTTGCATACTTTGTTGAGTAGACTAAAAGTATTTTTGGTAAAAGATCCCCTTTTAGATTTCAAAGGACAAATCTTCAAAGAAGCTGATTTTTCCAGGTATTTAATGCCCAATATTATAAATATTTTTAAGAGGAGATGTTCTTTACTTGTACACAAGTCCAGATGTTATCAGTAATAATATTTTATTATTGCTCTACCTCAACTCTTATTGTATTATGTATTTTGATTGGCTACATTTAGTGTGTATCTTGCTGTTAGTAAAGACTAATTTAGTCTTCTGTTTTTTAATTAAGGGAATGTTTCGATTTTCAAGGAGATTGGAAAGATTTTGTAAAAGAAGATTTTCACATGGACAAAGAAAACTTCTGTGTGGAGAAGCTGGAAGACACAGTAGGCTTAAATGAAGCTGTAATACTTGTTTTCAGTAATATTTTTATGAAAGTCAGCAAAGCATTCTTTGATAACTTTTAGTAATATATGTTGACCACCTACCCATTGTCAAGTTTAAAATTCTTGATAATGAGTTGATTGTGTCAATTAAGGAGTCAGATTTCTTTCTAAGATAGTGGTTCTAAATATTGGCTACACAAAATTACTTGGAGAGTTGTAATAAAATACTGAAGCCTGGAGCTTTCCCAGCTGTATTCTGATTTAATTGGTCTGGTGTGAAGCCCAGGTATAGGGAAATTTAAAACCTCTCCCAGTGATTTTAACCAATATAGCTAGTCTGGACACTAAGTAGTCATGTTCTACATAAAAAATTAGAGACTGGAGTTAGAAATGTTGGTTTGTGAGTTACATACAAAACAAATTATTACTTGTACTTTAACAAAATTGATCTCATTGAAGGAGTAAGACTAAAAATGATCTGAGATTGCATTTTAGGTCTGCCAGTGGTTAATAAGGAAGATAGCGTCTTTGCATATTAAAGGTCAAACTTGTCAACGGCCCACCTTCTTTTCTAGCTTTCAGTTCCAATTACACACAAAATTGATAGTATATTTTAATATATAAAGTATTCTAGCAGTTAATTTTTTGCTATATAACGAACTCAAAATCAAGGCCTGTAAAGAGTGATGCATTTTAAAGTTACTTAAAATTTTTTAAAGGTTTATTTATTTATGCATATAAAAACTGGGTACAGGCCAGAGGTGGGGGAGGGGGGGTGGGGGGGGAGGGGAGGGATGAGAGGATTCACCAGAGACAGTGGGGAGCAGAACAGGCAGATTTACTGAAATACACTGCTAAAGGGAGCAGTGGGCAAGACAGGAGAGGTTTGCTGCGCCACGTTGGTTAGCTGCCTGGCTGGAGATAGAACTAGTGCAGCAGTGGCTATAGATAGTTTCATAATGCTGCGACTTAACCCCTTGCGCCACCAGGGAAGCTCACTTTAAAATTTTTTTTAAGACAACTCAAAATGTTTTATATGCAGGGCTTTTCTTATAATATGTATGTACAATGCTCTTAAGGCATTTAAAGTGTTTCCTTATAATTAACCATTTTAACACTCATAGAAAATGTATTTATTCACCTATTAGTCCCTTTAATCCCTTCTCTCCCCCATTAACTGTGAGGGTTATGCACATAGTCTCACTTGTTAAAAAATTCATTTCTATAGGAATGAAAGAGAAACAAATTCCATGGAGTGCAATAAATAGCCATTCTTTTTCATCTGTCTTCTTCATTTCTCTCCATTCACCAACTCTTTTTTTTTTTTAAACAAGATTATATTTTATTTATTTTTTTTAATTTTTATTTATTTATTTATTTATTTATTTATTTTTTAGAGAGGCATGTTTTTCTTTCTTTCTTTATTTGTTTTGTTTTTGTTTATACATGCACTGGGTACAGTCAGAGCGCGGAAGGGTGAGAGAATTCACTAGAGCCAGAGCGGGGAGCAGAGCAGGCAGAAGGACCGAAGCACACTGCTGAGGGGAGCAGCGGGCGGCAGGAGAGGTCTGCGCGCCATGTGGGACCCTCCTCCGGTGGCCGGGGAGCAGCCAGGGATCGAACAGGCGCCGCAGAGGCCGCGGGCAGCTTCGCAACCCAGCGCTCAACCGCTGCGCCACCGGGGAGGCCCCATTCACCAACTCTTATCTGCTGCTCTGATTTGTTTTAAACTTAGAAATTTCAAAATTATTGTTAACCCAAAAGAAGGTTTTTCTGCACTAAGGGATATTGCATATCATAAATATAACCAGTGACCATAAAGGATATTACTCAAAGAGAAGATTGCTTGTAATGTAATATATTTTTGGCTGCTATTGCTTCCTTTTTTTAAGAGTATGCATGGCATCAATATTTTTGAGTGTGGATTTACTTTAAAATTTGGTACACAATTAAGAAAATATATACATTTACAAATTCAGAAACATTTCTTTTGAACCTTGTTTTGCCTATTTTTTCAGCCATCACTTTTGCTTGAATGTGAATTCTTAATACCCACAAGCCCCAAACAAGAAACTAATATTCCTTCACTGTCAGAGCTGAAGGAATCATTAAACTTAATACCAGAAATAATAAGTTATGAAGATGAAAATGAAAAACTTTTCAAAAGAGGTAAGAAATAATTAAAAAATCTGTGACTTATAAAAATTATTTATTATAACATGTATAAAAATGCTTGCTCCTTAATCTTTTTTTCCTAACTTTCAGATTTGCGTTCTGCAGATTACATTGTACATGTCATGACAATGATGACGTTCTTCTCATTGTCTCTTAATGCATTTGCAAGTTTAGAATGTCTCTGAGGTTAATCTAACCATTTTAAGATGCTTAAACAGATAAAGTTATATCACCTATGACTGTATTAATTTTTTAAGAACTGTTTTCTTGTATACTAGCAACTTCCATGCTGACTTTAGTTAGGTATGGAGATGGTCAGAGTAATGTGATGATTCATGGAATCAGATGATTTGGAGAGTTATAACCTAGAATTTACATGCTTTTATCTCAGTTAGACTTAGTAAATATTTTTTAATGACAACTTGAGCCAAATATTTGACTTTACCTTTATAAGTTCCAGTTGAAATGAACAAAGATAATATTAGGGAGGAGTGAAGGGAGATTTGTGATATACATTGAGAACAGGGGTATTTGCCATCAGTGAGCCACAGACTTGAAGGAATTCTTGCAGATGAGGCTAAATCAGGTGACTCATTGATTACCCTACAAATCAAAGCAGTAAGTGGAGCAAATTCATACCAGAACTTCAAAATATAGCAGAGCTTAAAACTACAGGGTGGAAGAATACACAAACACTAATTTGAAGGGTTATGTGTGGTCCTAGGTTCATTGCAGCACTCTTTAAATAACTAAAGTATGGAAACAACCTAAGTGCCCAGGCACAGATGAATAAATTAAGAAGATGTGGTATATATACACAATGGAATACTACTCAGTTAAGAAAAAGATGAACTCTTACCATTTGTGACAACACAGCTGGAAGTAAAGGAGATTATGCTAAGTGAAATAAGTCAGAAAGGGGAAGACAAATACTGGATGATTTTATCATGTGAAATATAAATCAACAAAACAAAGGGACTAAAAACTAAACCAAACAAATCCTAGAAAGCTGACTGTAGAATTGAGGCTACTTGTGGAAGAAGGTATGGAGGAAGCAAAGGGAAGAGGAAGCCTAATGGATTGAGGTAGAGGATTATGGGGGCCTTAGTGGTGGGTGCTATGTAGTAACATATATCTGAAGAGGTGTGAACCTGTACCTCTGAATCATACAGTGTTGTTAACCAGTGTTACCTCAATTTAAAAATTACTCAATTTAAAAAAATGTGAAAAAACTTTTTTTTTAAATTGGAGAATAGCTCATAGGCTACCTTGTTAGTAGAACATAAAACTGTGAGTAATATTGAAAAGGATAAGTGACTTTAATGAATGACTAGTTTCTATACCTCCAACCTTCACATTGTCAGAGAGGAATGAACAAAATTACGAGAAAATAATATAATAGCACTTTTACTGAGAGTGGATTTCCTTTTCTTTTCAGATATCACTACCAAACAGGGAATTGACATTGAGGATATAAAATGCAACTCCACAGAGATTTTGGCCATTCAAAGTCAGTGTGAGCCAGAATGTAACAAATTAGGTAAAAATTTTGAATAAATCATTTATTTTACCAGGGATTACTTGTATATGATATAAAATTCCAATATATTTGCATTTAAAGTCTATTATAAAGCAGTTTTTTCATCTTTAAAATCTGATTTTTGCAATATATGTTGTTTTTTTTCTCTTATCTATACTTTGTGATTTTTTGTTATCATTAAGTTAACCTGCTAGCATCAAAGCTGAATAGTATCTAGAAGGGAAGGTACAAAGACTGAGAAGAGGATTGGAGGAAATAGCATTAATGTTAAAATGCTGACATTTGGTATACTTCAGTAAATTTAACTTTTTAAGACTCCAAAGCAAGCCTGTCATTATGGTTAATATTATTGGCCTGTGAAATTGGGAATCTTAAGAATCGTCTTTTGTGCCAGTGTAATGCCAAATTGTGTTGTTTCTTACTATGTTAATGATTGTTATTTAGTAATATATATAATTAAATCACATTAATCATGTATTATGAAAGTGATAGAAACCACTGGATACTCATGAATAAATGAGGATCAGATTGTGTAGTCCACTCTATAGACATATAAGTCTGTGTTAGGCCACCTAGATTCCATACTTACCAAGGTGAAGAATTACTCTCCATTAATACTATTTGCTAAATATTACTATTACTTAATATAGAGATAAAAATAACTATTTCCTAAGTACTAATAATATAAGCTATCAAAGTTAAAACACTATTATATATAAAGTTTTAGATTTTTATCTTGTAGTCTATAATCTTTAGTTGTCAATGTATTTTTTAAAAATCACTATTACAGTTGAAATACTGTGTTATCTGTATAATTCCTTATATAGAGGAAAAATTTAAGCTGTTATTTTGCATTTTTAATAACCCAAATTTCTTTTTTTTTTTAATAATAAATTTTATTTTTATATTCCCCATACAATTGCAGCCCCCCCATTCTGACCCCAATCCCTCCCCTCCCACCCCCGCGCCCCTAAAAGTGTCTCTGGAATAACCCAAATTTCTTACTGAAAATTTTTATTAGAATGAGCAAACATAATAATTGTTTACAAAGAGTTTTAAATTATATTATTCAATGTTTATGTAATACTATGATGTTTTTAAATTTTTGTGTACTGTAGTAGAGTTAGAAATGCCATTAAGTCATCTACACCTAACAAACCAACAACCTTCTTCAGTGAATTCATTATGTACAGGACTTCAGACATTTCCACTTTCTCCTGTTTGTAAAATGTAAGTATAGATTATATCAAAAACTCAAACTGCAATTCAGAACAAGAAGTCTGTAGTTAAAACTCTCTGTACAAAGGCAATTTCCAAGATACCTCTGTGAAAAAATACAAGATGCAGAACAGTGTCAATAGTAAGCAAGTGGAGAGAATATATGAATGTTTATGTACATATTTGGTTTTATATATATATAATATCTTTAAAAAGACAAGTAAGAGTCAGAAACATTGTGTCCAAAGGGAATTGTTTAACCTGGAAATACGGTAACTAGTAAGTGATAGGACCAAGCTCTTTTATACTTTAGTATTTTAAATGTAAATGTATTACCACTAAAAGTAAACAACATGAAAATTTTTTGAAGACCTGAAACAATCTGCTTAGGATATGCCCACTGCATGCTTGCAGTAGCAGTTCTGTTGGCACTCAGTATAAATCACAGGCCCCTTCTCCCCTGGAACCCCCAAAACACACAGACATCTGTCACTCACAAAGCCATCAAGGCTGAAGGACATGAACTGAACTTTAGAACTGTTACTTCCTGAGAAGGTAGAGCAGAGATAACTTTTTCCATAGTTCTGATCCTCAGCCAGTAGAGGATCCAGAATTTCTGTTTAGCGGGACAACGCTTTCATGAAAAATTGTGTTAAAGCTACTGTTTTGTATGTTAAGCTGAGAAATTTTACTTAGATTTGTATTTTTTTGGGGGCGGGTAGCTTATAGGGTTGGTGCTGGCACAGTTTTTGGAGGGAAGTGCTAAAAACCCTTGCAAGTTATTCCCCTCTGGCTCCAAAATTTTACTGTGCAAAAATACCCAAAATAATATTAGTGTATTATACTTTGATTTTTTTTCCAGTAGTTTGCTTACTGCTGAAGAATCAGCCAGCAAATACTATAAGATGTGGCAGTTAGAAAGCTGCAGAAACTCTTTGAACTCATTTTTGCTTAAAGGTAAAGATTAATTGATTTTGAGTGCTAAATAGAAAGAATAGATAAAAATGCTGTTATTATAACTAACATTTTATTATTTTACATAATTTTATACATTTTATTTTATTATATAAAGCAGTTCTGAAATTAGAATTTTAAAATTTATAATCTTAATGTTATGTTGATGCTTATAATGTAAGTCATAACATTAAGTAATTGTGCTGCTTTAGTTCTTCTGTGCATTATGATTAGTCCCTACTTGGACTGATGAGTAATAAAGCAGAAAGGTCTATGCCACAATATCTATGGTTATAGTCATCATAAAATCTGATCAAATAGATCATGGTGAATTATAGCTTGGGATCATCTTCACTAAAAAAAAATTTTAAAACCCATTAAAAAGGTTATATTTACTCAAAGAAAGATTCAGTAACTCCCTGACAAAGTCCCAGGACTTTCCCATGGAGGAGGACTTACTCTAGGGTTGGTCACTTGTTGCAGGTCAGGGGATGTGGCCAGGAAAGTTCATACCCCAGTTGGCAGAATGGGTTGTGGGTCAGCCATCTGTAGCCCTTAGTAGGTTGCCTGAGGGAGGGGAGTGTGGTGAATTTCACCAGAGGGACTTTTCAGAAAGGAAGTACAGTCATGTACGAGGGTCCTACCCGGCACACTGCCACTTCTACTATCAGTGTGGATAAGAAAAATAAACTCTTCTCCCAATCCCCTCCCATAAGTAAGAAAAAAAAGTGTTCAGGTTGAGCCATGCCAGCTCAGATTGCAGGCCCAACAGCAGAGGGAAGGACTGATGAGAGAAAGAACACACTAAATATTAAAATGATTTCAACTACATTATATTTTCACAGGTTGAAATAAAACATTTATGTGACTTCTGTTGCTATAGTATTTTATGACTTTCCAAATATTAACGCCTTGAAGACAAAATATATATATATATATATATATATATATATATATATATATATATAGCTTCAGATTTCATTTTTACTTTATAAGGAATTTCCAGTGGGATTCTGTTTATTGTGTTTTTCATCTTTTATCCTTTTTGGATAATTTCTGACTCTCTGGTTTGGATTTGTTATTGTTTTGAAAGTGCCAAAAACTGAAGCGCCTGACAGCCAATATTCAGTTACAGATTTGAAAGAGATATTTTCTATTGAAGAAGAAAGCCTTGTAGTTAATCCTATAAATGCAGATTGGTGGAAACAAGCAGGACTAAATCTGATAGTGACAGAAACTTTGGAACATCTGAACACAAGTTTGTGTCAGGGTGACCTATTGTCTCATGATACTAAAATGGAAATATTTTTGCCTACAAAAGAACTCCAGTTAGAATGTAAGTACAAAATACTAAATATCACTTGTGTGAACATTTTCAGCATGAGAAAATGTTAGATACTGGTTTTCCACCAGGTGATTGGAAAACTGTAACTTGATCCCCGTATTCACTGTTGACTTTGGCACTACCAAAGCTTTGAGGTTCACTAAACCCCATTTCCTTCTTTGAAAAACTGAGTAATTTGACTAGGTAGTGCTAAAATCCTTTTCTCTCCTAAAATTTTTTTTAAATTTTTTTCTTTTATACATTTTTTACATCATTTTTCATTTTTGTACAATGAATGCATTTTCTTTTTTCTTATTTTGAATTTTTTACATCGTTGTTCATTTTTAAACAATATTAGCTTCCCCCCACACCCTCAGGTGTAGTCCCCATTGAGTTTCCTTCACTAGTGCACCCATGCACCATCACCTCAGTCCCCTGTGCTCCTCCCTCCCTCCCTCTGATCCCTCTCCCTCCTCCTCCCCTGCAGGATGTCTCTGATTTATAATTGTCGGTTTTTGCTTTGTTGTGTTTTGTACTGTTGTTATTTTTTTACACTGATGTCTCATTTGGCTCCCCTATATTCCTGCTATAAGTGAAACTGTTACAGAGCAGCCCTGATATAAAATGGGTTGCCTGGCTGTGGGTCCTTATCCACGTCCTTAAAAGGGACTTATTAATACTCCACTACAGGCACACACAAAAGGTTAATAAAAGGTTTATTTACAAGGGAAACGGAATTGAGGAAATGTACAACTCAGGGAGAAAAGTGGGAAATAAAGTCTTTAATACGTCCTACCCGATCTGCCGACCTGGAAACCCAGTGGCACTCTGAGAGCTGGCCTAGCGCAGCAAGCTGGTGGAGAGCCAAAAGGGAAACCCCCAAAGCCCATGTGTCTGGTTTTATACCAAACCTGGCTGCTTAACCCCACCCTCAGGTTCCAGCAACCTTCTCTTTAGTGGTGATGGAATTTGTCTTTCCCAATGTCCTGATGGCTTTGGTCTGGAGTGGGGGTGGAGTCCACAAAGCCTGTATGAAATTAGCTTTAAGACATCCATGGGCCTCCCCGGTGGCGCAGCGGTTGAGCGCTGGGTTGCGAAGCTGCCCGCAGCCTCTGCAGGGCGGTTCCATCCCCAGCTGCTCCCCGGCCACCAGAGGAGGGTCCCACATGGCGCGCAGACCTCTCCTGCCGCCCGCTGCTCCCCTCAGCAGTGTACTTCGGTCCTTCTGCCTGCTCTGCTCCCTGCTCTGGCTCTGGTGAATTCTCTCACCCTCCCGCGCTTCTGACTGTACCCAGTGCTTGTATAAATAAATAAACAAATAAATAAATCTTTAAAAAAAAAAAAAAAAAAAAAAAAAGACATCCTTTTCCTCCTAACAAAACCATCTGATATTTTTCTTTTTCCTTCTGGCTTATTTCACTGAGCATAATTCCTTCTAGCTCCATCCATGTTGCTGCGATTGTCTCCTAAAATTCTTTAAACTCAGTTGTAAATTTTTTTAGTCCTTTTTAAAGTGACTTTGCTTTTTTTGTACATGATTAATTGCTCTGGCAATTTCTGTTTTCATCAATCTAGACAAACCAGTGTTGTTACTTTTCAGTATGACAGCTGAATTTTAGGTGTTTTATAATATCTCGTAATCTGTACTAGAAAATCTGTAGAAATCTTCCTTTGTTGCCAAAAAGTTTATTCACTTCACATTTTTTTTAATATTTATTTATTTATTTATACAAGAACCTGGGTACAGGTCAGATTTGCGGGAGAGTAAGAGGATTCACCAGAGACAGAGCGGGGAACAGAACAGGCAAACTGATGAAATACACTGCTGAGGGGAGCAGCGGGCGAGACAGGAGCGCTCTGCTGCGCCATGTGGGACCCTCACTGGCCGGCCAGGATCAAACCCATGCTGCAGATGCTGTGGACAGCTTCACAGCGCTGCGCTCAACTGCCTGTGCCACCAGGGGAGGCCCTTCACTTAGCATTTTTTGCTTATATTCTTTAAGAAGGCAAAAATGTCTTTCAAATTTGTATCCTTTGATTTATTTTTGGCTGCTATTTATGCCATTATGTAAATAAAACATGCTTAACTTGAATTTAGCTGCTTGAAGTATATTTGTGTTGTTTTAAAATCAGTTTGTGTAGGGCCTCCCCGGTGGCGCAGTGGTTGAGCGCTGGGTTGTGAAGCTGCCCGCTGCCTCTGCGGCGCCATTTCAATCCCCGGCTGCTCCCCGGCCACCTGGTGAGGGTCCCACATAGTGTGCAGACCTCTCAACCTGCTCTGCTCCCCGCTCTGGCTCTGGTGAATTCTCTCACCCTCCCGCGCTTCTGACTGTACCCAGTGCATGTATAAACAAAACAAACAAACAAATAAATTTTAAAAAATGCCTCTATTAAATAAATAAATAAATAAAATCAGTTTGTGTAATAGTTAATACATTTAACTTTTGGTTCATTATAAATATATATATGTGAATTTTAAAAATTATTGTATATGTTAGGGGAGGAGATAGGATTCCTAAGGAAAGAATTGGGGTAAGAATTGTTATCAGCAAGAGGTGTTTCAAAGACAGATATAGAGGGCTTTTGATATGGTAGGAAGGAGCATAAATGAACAGATCATATCAAGCAGCTGCACATCAGCCTCTCCTAAGACCTAAATGGTTACCCATGGTAGAAGAATAGTTTAAAAGATTAGGTCAAATTGCTGCAAAAAAAGGTAGAGGAAAATTTTATGGCATCTTCACAAATAATATTTATTATTTTCTGTTTTCAGCATGGCTAGAACATAAAGGTTGTTCCTCACCTGTTGTCCTTGTTGATGAGGAATCCACAAGTGATCATTTATCACTTCCACAAAAAAGTCCATCTGTGGCAAAAGAAATACCAGATCTGTGTTTGTCTGATGAATGTGTCACTGTTAAAACACCAACAAAAGAAGAAAGACCAAAGGATGATCTAGAAATCGTTGGTGGAATAATTGAAAATAAAGATTACTTCGAATGTGACAACACGGTATCATTGACTGAATCATCTTCATCTTCCAAAATTGAAAAGTCATCCTTTAAACATGGTAAAAAATGGGGACATGATTTGGACCCTTTGAATGACTTTATTATGCTGCGAAATAAATATGAGATATGTACCTCAAAGAATGAAGTCACAGACAATGGTGAAAAAGATGGTGGGTAATTCAGTAATTTTTGTGTAGATACATAAACTTGAACTACATATACAATTTATTATAGATGCAATTCTTTAAGTTCTCTCAGTAGAACTATATTATTTTTCAAAGTCAAAGAAAGTGTCATTGGTTCATGACACTGCGTATGGAGATAAGTATAGATAGGTAGATGTAAATGTAACATGATGGTAGCATTTATTTTTCCCAAAGATATGATAAACTCTTATAGGTGTATTTAGAGTTACAGGGCTTTGTCAACCAGTGCATTTTTCACATTGAAAAAATTCAGTGAAATGCAGAATAGTATTTAAAGATGTCAGAATTGTGTCATCTTTTGTGTTTATATATTCATCATAAAGTCTCTTTCTAAGTAGTAGTTGACCACTTCATAACTTAAATTGCTACGTGCTGAATCTGTATGTATCTGAGATCTTTCTAACAAATATTTGTACCATAATTTAGAGCAAAACTTTCCCACAAAAATGAGCAATATATATAAAAAATTATTTTAGGAATTTCTAAAATATTCATAATTTTTAGATTCTGTTCATGTTTGAGACAAAAAAGGAAGTGACCCAAAATTAACTGTGACATCCTTTTCATTCTGATGATAATGGCTTGTAATAAGATATACTAGCAACACAAAATGAGAGGAAGCAGCAAGAAAAGTTGAGAATATTTCCTTGTAAAAGAATTAAAAAGTTAGCCATTAATTTACTGAACAAAGAAAGGAATATTGAAGTTTGCTGGGAATGCTTATGCTCCTGAGCTCTTTGCCCTTTAATGAGTTCTCAGGGCAGTTGGAATGAATCATATGAATTGTAAATTTGAAAAGAATAAATTGGGCATAAGCTCCTGGATGAGCTGCCCACTGGGAACAGGCAGCCTCCTCTGCTTCTGTTTGTCCTGAATCTTTCCCAGCTAGCAGCTCCACCATAAGGAATCCTGTCCCAGTCCAGCAGAGCCTGGGATGGGTAGACAACTGCTTGATTCTGGTATTGTTAATAAGCTTACTTGACTCTCAGGCCAAACTTCTTTCTCCAACTTAAATTTTGTTAGTAATAAAGGTAATAATTTGGTATATATTTTATAGTTGATTCAGAGACAAGAAAAAAATAATTGCAACTTGTTAGGCCCCTCAAAAGCTCCCGTAATTATTTAATCACAGCTATTCTAATTATTTATAGTTAACTAAAGGTATTACTTAAGAATAATAAAATCTAGTTTAGGAATTTTACTCCATTATTTTTCACCATGTATTAAATGCTATGTATTAAAATGTTTCAAGATGACAATGTGTTTCTATAACTATTATAATCATATTACTGAATAACATTGCTGTCTCATTAATATAGCTCTAAATTATACATAAATTAATTAGTTATGTAGTTTTAAATCTTCCACAAAACTTAGAAAAACTGTACTGCTATAGGAACAAAACTAACATTTTTTGAACACTGTGTACCTGGCACTAAATTACATATTAGAGATAAAAATGATACCTGTTAACCTGAGGAGTATAACAGAGTGGGGCAGACATGCAGGTAGATAATTTCAACACAGTGTGGTAGGTGCCAGGAGACAGGGGTGCACAAAGTGCTGAGGAAACAAAAATAGAGGGATACATTGCTAGCTTGGATGGAGAGCAGAATGGGTAGTTAAATAGGGCCTCTTCCAGAAAATGTGTAAGAGCTGAAGGGTGAATGGTAAACTGAATTAGCCTAATTAAGAAAAGATAGAGACGGGGATGGTTTGGGGAATAGGAAAGATTAGTAGCAAAAGGAAGGTTACGCAGAAATTAAAGATTTTAATTGGCTTTATTCAGTGAATCAGGCAGCATCCCATCTAGTTGATAGAAAGGAGCTTTGAGAAGATGTACAAAATGAAAAACTTAGAAGCAGAAAAGGACAGGACAAAGATGTTATTTGAGCTGATTGCTTTTGGCAAGATCACCTTTAGGAAATGACAGGGTTCTGTCAGAATGTTACCCACAAGTACTGACCAGTTAACTTCCAGGTTGACTGTATTAAGATTCCATTCCTGGGAGAAGTTGAAACTGCAAGTTAGATATTAAATCTCAGCTTGATCTCTTTGGGTCTTAGCATAAGTGATTCCACTTTGGGCCTATTGTCTCTCTCCTGATAACAATATTCAGCGTGGGTGTATTGTCCCATAGTTTACATATGAGGATACTGAGGCTAGTGTCAGAATGAGTTTCAAACACTGATCTGATGCTGAAGTTTTTTCATCATTACCATTTAGCTTCTTGTTCAGCACAGTATTAGGTCCTTTGACAAGAATTAATAGTTCCTCATTTTAATACTGATATGTTTTAAAGAACTTTAGTAATTGTGATCATGTTAGAAAACAGCTTGAAATAGAGCAACATTGATTTTCTCTTAAACAATGCAAATTAATATTTTTATTAGAACTTCAAGATAAAGAATGTTCTTTGACTCTTCGAGGAAAAAGCCCAATTGTTTGTATTAATAAAACCCTAGAGGTAGTCAATCAGGAAAGGACTGAAGATCATGTCATTGAAATTCAGGCATCGGGTATGCTATATGTTTTTGAAATGTAAAATTAAGTTAATTTGAAAAACCCTTTCCTGGGTATCTAGAACATATTTCATTTTACATGTTATTTTCTTCACTTGTTTTAGATATTTCTTCATTCCATTCCTATTTCAACTAATTTCCAAACCTAGAATGCCTTTTTCTTTACCTCCACCCCTCCCTGTTGCCTTTCCCTAGTCTATTTCTTCCTTCATTTAAACTGTTCCCTACATTCATCAGAGAAGAATAAACTGAAATTCCCTGGATTCTTGAGCCTAGTCTGAAAAATGAGCTGCTAATGGTTGTGCTCTCTGTTCTCTTAGCACTGTCAGGGTAATGTAAATAAGTTATTATTGATTCCCATACTGATTAAATGTTTTTTTTTTCCCTGCTGTAAGAATATTCATTGAGTCCCAAAGAACAGCCTCCTTAAGAACATTATGCTCATGATTAAAATCAATAAGGGAAACAGTTCTTAAATATTTTCTGGTTCAGTTTTCTTTATCACCTTTAGATGACCACAAATCTCTTAAGTATTGATAGTCTAGTGAAAACTAGAGACTATCTGTCATTGTTATAAATTTATTAAAGATTGTAAGCTGACAGTCAGGGGGAAAGAAAAAATTATGTGATTCTCTTTGTGTGGGTCTTAATACTTGCCATGTCAAATTGCTGCTGAATAACTCAGTAACAATATACTTGAAAGTCATAAAATTATGCTAATTTTATAGGTACAGGAGTTATTTTTTATGAATTTATTTAGAATAAATATCCTAAAATAAACTTTATATAATCTCATGGTTTTTATTTATTTTTTTAAGATTTGTTTTTCTACAAGAGCTGGGGTACAGGCCAAAGGTGCAGAAGGGTGAGAGGATTCACCAGAGACAGAGTGGGGAGCACAACAGGCAGACGACGGAAATACACTGCTGAGGGGAGCAGTGGGCGCGACAGGAGAGGTCTACCATGCCATGTGGGAATATCCCTGGCCAGCCGGGAATTGAACCGGTGCTGCAGAAAGGCTGTAGAAAGCTTCACAGCACTGCACTCAACCTGTTGCACCACCAGGGAGGCCCTAATCTCATGATTTTTAACTCAGAAAAGACTTTGAATAGAGTTCAGGTTTTCATGAAGTACCATGTTTAACTGGTTTGTCAAAAAAAGCATTATCCTTATAAAAAACAGTGCCTTTAATGTTTTTGTTTTTGCAGATAGCCAGTGCCAAGCGTATTGTATCCTAGAAGCTGCAGCTACTCCTATCTTAAAAAACCTTGCATACTTCTGCACTCTTCCCGCTAACTGGAAATTTGCCACTGTTATTTTTGACCAAACAAGGTTCTTCTTAAAGGAACAAGAAAAAATTATAAGTGATGCTATTCACCAAGGTGAGTGCAAATAAAAGCCACCTGATTTAAAATATAAATCTGTGTATTGTTTTATCAAATTAGTAAAAAATAAATATGAAAGATGCAGAAACTAGTGATGGATCCAAGTATAACTGTAATTCAGCATGTGGTACCCACAAAGCAAATCTCCTGATCAGTTAGAGAAGGAGAAAATGGTAAGAAATAACATCTAATATTGCTTCTCAGGTTCTAGAAAACCATATTAACCCTATAATTGTTAGCATCTGAACACCTTGTACCTACTCCCCCCCACTACCACCAGATGAAAGGGTTGGGGGAGATCAAAAATAGATTAAAGTTAATCTTGGACTTTTGCTTCTGGCCAAAATGGAGTAAAAGGATTAGATTTACTCTCCTGTCAGGAATAACAACAAAAAATACATACATGCAACCAATTTTTAAGACCCAAAACATCAGGCAATGAAGAATAGAGATTCCTGAGCAATGGGAAACAAGTAAGGTGATTCTTCCATTGCCCTAAGTTACTGCCTTGAATGAGTTGCAAGTCCATGGCACAGGGACAGTTACTCCTGAAAGAGCCCAGTGGACAGTTTGAATTAGAGAAACAGCTAAGCATCCAGGAAGATCAAGGCAGTTAGAGTTCAAGGGATTGAGTATTAGCGAGCAGAGAGCTTCAGACAGTCCTGAAAATCTGCACAGTCTCTCTCAAGTATGCATCAGAGTACCAATCAAAGAGTATAGAGTGTATGTGTAAAAACTACTTGAGGTTGGGTAACAAAACATCTAAAAAAGGATAAGAGGAAATTGAACTCTGAATTCACCAGTGCAGGGAATAACATCTGTTCCCACCAGCTAGACTAGAAAAACTCATAATTCATGGGCATTGAGTAAAGTACTTAGAGAAGTCTTGCCTGAATACTGAGGAATAATTATCCCTAGGTTTAGCATTGCTGTGGATCTGCCTCACAAATCATAAGAGCAAGACACAAATGATCGAAATATTTCCAAGAAACATTACTGCAGCCCAGAATAAAGTTCTTGAGGATTAATATAAATACAAATATATCTAGTATCCAACCTAGTAAAATCCACAATGTCTAGAATCTATTCAAAGTTTGTCAGGCATGAGAAGAGACTGAAAATAGGATCCATAATGAGAATAACCAACCAAAACAAACTCATACATCACATCGTAATCAAATTGCTCAAAACCAGTGATATAAAGAAATTTACAGAAACAACCAAAAGAAAAAAAGATATGTTACATACAAGAAACAAAGATAAGGGTGAAGTCAGACTTTTTGTCTGAAATAATACAAATGAAAATCCAGTAGAATAATATCTTTAAAACACTAAAAGGATAAAAGATCAAGTTTTCTATACTAGGCAAATTATATGTTACAAAAACAAAGGTGAAATCATTTTCAGACACATAAAAACTGAGCAAATTCATCAGCTGCAGACCTGCACTACAAGAAATATTAAACTTCTGAAGACAGAAGAAAAGTCTTGTTCCTCTGCCCTATTACTTGTTCCAGGTCATGATCCATGATCTTGTTCTTGCAAGTTCCCACATGATTAACATGAAGTCATTCCAGAGACTTATGGATATATTTACCCATAATTGGTTTTCCTGTTGCCTCTTGACTATGTGACTACTACATATTTGCCTTGATCTTCATTGATTAGATCAGCAATTTTCAATTTTTTTTGGCAGAATTCTGGCCAAGTAAACATATATGTTATCCCAACATGTAAAACAGAAAAGAAGAGCTTTTCTGGAACAGGATGGCTATAACCCTGTCTTCTTGGTCTCACTTTTATGCACAGTAAAATCCAATCTATCATCTTCAAAATGCTCTATATACATGTAACTATATACATGTAACACATTAGACAATTGGCCTGGACCTTGGAATACATTTCTTGTTTGAGTCATAACTTTAGACAAACATTCCAGGTATCCACTTCCATTCTAAGGTATTGCTTTATTTTATGATCCTTCCTCTTTATTTTAAGCAGTTAACAGGTTATGAGTTTTATTTTCTTCCTGTTTCATAACTTTTAATCATTGACCCATGCTCCATATCGAGTAGAAATAATTGAATATTCTTTAGAAACAACAGGAGTATGAACTCTTAAGGTTAGCTGAATGGGTTTGAATGTTAGCTCCACCATTCACAAAATTACCTCAGACAGTTACTTAGCTTGGTTAAGATTGTTGCCTTATCCACAAAGTGAGGATCACAAAAATCTGGTCTGATAGGATTGTCATTATAGATTTAATGAAATAACTAGCATATCTCTAGCTTGACACATAGTAAGCATGTAGCATGTGATAAGAAAGTTAGCTGTCATTATTAAGCATTCTGATACCTATTCTAAATTTCTAATGTATATTTCATGTTTTTTAAATATGTTTTTGCTTAGGTACAAATGATGAAAGAGAAATGACATTCAAGCATGCTGCTCTCTTACACCTTCTGGTAACAATCAGAGATGTGCTTTTAACATGTAGCTTGGACTCAGCATTAGGTTGGTGGGGGAAATTTTTATTTCTCTACTTTTTCTTATTGAGATATCTAATCTGAAATAACTTATTTTTCTGGAAAAGATGTGAAAGTATGTAGGCTTTTGCTTCCACATGAAACATATGTATTTTGACAGTTATAATGGAATATATGTTCTGCTTATATTCATTAAAAACTATATCAACTATATCACTTAGAAAATTAGGTATAGGATTCTCTGCCTAGGCCTAAATTTTAGTCCTAATGACTTCAAGCACTTTTGATTGTATAATCATCATCATGTAGTACTTAATGTAATATTTGACATTTCCCATATGTATTTTAGCTCCTCATTGAATGCTTATGGCTTTGACTCTTTATTAAATGAACTATTACTAAATTATAAGTAGTAAGATCTTTTTAAATTTTTTTTAGTTGTGACTGTAAATTAGGATGTGAATTACTTGAGTAGTCAAAATCAAACTATTTTGAACATAATAGAAAATTTTAATATCAAAATATCTTCTTACTGCATGACTGATTTAGGCCCTTTATTGAAGGATTATTTACAGTTGTTAGTATGCTTATAAAATTACTATTTTATTATTTAGAGTTTCTAGAACCATTTAAAAGCATTATTTCACTCTAGAGTGAAAGTAGCTTTTCTCTGATCTGTGACACAGACATTTTCTCTTATCTATGACCCAGACAAGTATTATTTCTCTAGTCCGAGGTTCTGATAAGTATTGAGCCACAGTGAGGTCACAATTGTACTCCCTCTACAGCATGAGGTGTTATAATATTTGCTCAGGTCTTAGTTATATTAGTCTTATCTGACCGAGTATTATACTTAAGGTATAGCTGCCTTTAGAAAGCCCAACATGGTGCTTATTCTTTCTTCCCTCAATGTAAGTGACTTGGATATTGATGCTAGAGCAGGTTGTCTTACCTTCGTCCCTAGACAAGTATCAGGAAATATAGCACCAGTTTTCTAGAACTAGTATAAGGGTACAATGTCACATGCCCTTCTGTTTAGTCACCTGAATTCATTATGCATTTGCCTTCTATAAAATATTGTCAGTCCCACCAACAGCTAGGGTGATTATTAAAGCATAATAGGGCAGAATAGCAGAATCTTGACTATCTGAGCTTCCAGTGCTGTAGAGAGAGTAAACCTGTGACTCACTGCTGCTCATTGCTTATTAAAACTTTAAATTAGAGACATAATATTTATGGAGGATTGTTTGAAGGATATCCACGTTTAAGTACATTAAAATTTACCCTAGGATCAAATGAGACTGCAGAGAACTTTGTACTTGGACAGAATTGTTTTTGCTTCTCAAAGAAATGCATTTACCAAATCAACCTTTGACTTTACTATTTAGTTACCTGAAGGAGTACTGTAAGGGTAAAATCTTTGATGGAACACTGATTTCTTAAGACCTAGGTACCAACCCAGAATAAATAATCTAGCTGCTTTGGACATTTTTAGTAGAGGGCTTTCTCACTCCCCCAAACCTCTTGAAATCAAACACCAACTTAAGTTGTCCTGTTCTGTCTCTCTCTCCCTCCCCTGCTCTACCTCTTTCCCCCTCTTTCCCTCTCTCCCTTTCTCCAGAACAGAAAGGTCCATCAGGACCTGGCTGCCTGCTCTGCTCCCTTCTAGAATTTTGTATCTTCTCCCAGCTTCCCAAGCTACCAAGGTGATGAATATCAAGGTTAAAGATATAGCATATCATTTCTGCATTTGATTTCAAATAGAAATAGTATTGTATAGTAGGTAGTATAGTACAGGAATGTAGTAATGGTACAAAGGATGGAGACTTTTTCCCTTAAGCTGAATATTTCTTTAAAAGTAGGAGTTTGCCAAGTTAATAAAGTATGAAAGACCATTATAGACAAAATTAAGAGCCCAGTGGAATGACATAGTGAGTGTGCTGTAAGCAGTTCCATGTGACTAAGCTGAAATGTACAAGGTAGAAGGCATTAAGAGCTAATCCTGAAGAAGTAAGAAAGAGTCAAAGCATGGAGAGCCCTTTAAACTGCACAAGGGAGTTTAGACTTTATTCTATAGATGAGAGGGAGTCATTGAATCAGGGGTGCTACTGTCTTAGCTTTGTTTATCTTTCTAGTGGCAGTGTGGAGTATCAGTGGGAGGTTTGGAGATTAGGAGGCAGAAAGAACATAAGTCAATATCTAAATTGCCCATCAGTCTAGTTGTGCTAATATAATGTAAGATTAATATGTCCATAAGTATAAAAATATGAACATAAGTATTCAATTTTTAAAAATTTATTTTCTTCATTTATTACCACACTATTTACTGAACACTGATATAGATGAGTTACTATGCCAGATGTTCTATTGCAGTAATTCATAGAACTCACTGTGCAGCAGAATCACCTAGAGAACGTTTGAGAAATAGAAATCTGAGGACACATTACAAATTTACTGAATATGAACATTCAAAGATGGGTCTCAGGAGTCTGTTTAAAAATTGCTCTTAAAAAATAATTAAAAAGTAAATAAAAATTGCTCTTAGTCTGAATTTAGGCACTTCTGTTTTAGCAGCCATAAATATATTTATGCATAAATAACATAGATTAGATCCTGAGATCTCATAGTCGAGATGTTAAGTCATGTACATAAATAATTAGCACTAAGTACAAAAACTGAATAAAATACCAAGAAAATTCCAGTGAAGTGACATTTCCACAGGATTTGCTTATAAAGGTGGCATCTGGGGTTTTGGAAGAAGGCAATAAATAGCATTCAACAAGCTGGAAGGCAAGAAGGGATAGGATATATTCAGAGAATATGTAGACTATATCCAGGCATATTGGTGTTAAAGTAGCTTAAAAGAGGCAGTTGATACATATTTTTCAACTTCACTCAGTTTTAAGGTTTCATTAGTTTATATCTTTGATTAAAATCAGCAAAGGGATAGAGGAAATTTCAATTCTGTTATTTAAAGTTTTTACCATGGAGTTTCTTAAAAAACAAAAACATGCTTTTTTCCCCTATTTTTGTTTTAACAGGATATTTGTCAAATGCAAAAGACATCTACAAAAGCATTTTAGGCTCTTACTTGGGTGACATTTGGAGACAGCTGGAGATTGTACAGTTTATAAGGGGAAAAAAGCCTGAAACCAATTATAAGATACAAGAATTGCAATGTCAGATACTAAGTTGGATGCGAAGTGAACACCGAATTCAGGTTAAGTATTAGGATCAAGCAGATAAAAGTAATCATTTAAAATAAAAATTGGATGTAATATAAGAATTTATATTTAACTTTAAAATTATGAAATAATCTATTCTGTTTTGCCCATTGACAGCTTTCTTCTAGTAAGTTAACAGAAGTTAACAGAAGTAATCAAAGAGAAAGGATGATACACATTGGTATTCATGTCTTAATTTTTTAAATATTTTAATTTTTATTGTGCTCAGTTTTCAGTGAATTGGTTTTCATATGGTATTTACAGGTCCATGAATATGTATCCAATAGTAAAATTGCAATAAATTAGTTCTAATATTGAACCAAAATCTCATATGCTTTTACCAAAAAAGCACCTACCACGAGAATATGAAAGTTGAATTAATGAAGATTTGAGAGAAAATGCTTTTTTAAATCTTATCAAATAGAAAAACAGTTCAAATCATTTCACTAAATCTGCTTACCGTTTTGCCTTTTTTCTTTCTATCCCGCTTGTCTTTTTTTTTTAAAGAAATTTTATTTTTATATTCCCCATACAATTGCAACCCCCTTATTTTGACCCCAATCCCTTCCTTCCCCGCCCCCCACCCCCCATAGAGTGTCTCTGGTTCATAGTTTTTTGTTGATTTTGATTTTCACTTTCTTATAGTTATTCACTTTCCTGGGTCCCTTATTTAAGTTTTCTAGATTCCTGCTATGAGTGAGACCATCCGGTATTTTTCTTTTTCTTTCTGGCTTATTTCACTGAGCATGATCCCTTCCAGCTCCATTCATGTTGCTGCAAATTGCATGTGTTTATCTTTTTTGAATGCTGAGTAATATTCCATGGTATATATGTACCACATCTTCTTGATCCAGTCATCTATTTTGGGGCATTTGTGTTGTTTCCAAAGCTTAGCTAAGGTAAACAGTGCTGCTATAAACATAGGGGTGCAGGTGCTCTTTGGAATTGATGTTTCTGTGTTCTTTGGGTAAATACCTAGGAGTGGAATTGCTGGATCATATGGGAGCTCTATTATGTTTAGTAGGTCCAGAAATCTCCACACAGCTCTCCATAGTGGTTGGACCAGTTTGCACTCCCCCCAACAGTGCAGAAGAGTTCCTTTTTCTCCACACCCTCGCCAACATTTGTTGTTGCTAGTTTTTTAATATGTGCCATTCTCACTGGTGTGAGATGGTATCTCATGGTAGTTTTGATTTGCATTTCCCTGATTACAAGTGATGTTGAACATTTTTTCATATGCCTGTTGGCCATTTGCCTGTCCTCTTCAGAGAAGTTTCTTTTTAGCTCTTCTGCCCATTTTTTGACTGGATTATTTTCTTTGTTGTTGAGTCTCATCAGCTCTTTTCAGATTTTTGTGATCAGTCCTTTATCATTAGTGTTGTGTGCAAAAATGTTCTCCCAGTTGGTGGGGTTTCTCTTTGTTTTTGTTATTGTCTCTTTTGCTGTGCAGAAGCTCTTTAATTTGATGTAGTCCCAGCTGTTTATCTTTGCCTTCACTATCACTGCTTTGGGTGATGTGTCTGTAAAGATGTCTTTGATGTGCATATCATGTAGTGTTTTGCCTCTATTTCCTTCCAGTATTTTATGGTTTCAGGTCTTATGTCTAGTTCTTTAATCCATTTTGAGATTTTGAGTTGATTTTGTGTATGGTGTGAGGTAGTGTTCAAGCTTCATTCTTTTGCATGTAGCGATCCAGTTTTCCCAGCACCATTTATTGAACAAACTTTCTTTGCTCCAATGCATAGTCTTTGCTCCTTTGTCAAAGATTAGTTGACCATAAATCTGTGGGTTTATTTCTGGATTTTCTATTTGATTCCATTGGTCTGTGTGTCTATTCTTGTTCCAATATCATGCAGTTTTGATGATTATGGCTTTGTAGTATAGTTTGAAGTCTGGGAGTGTGATGCCTCCATTCCCTTCTCTTTTTTTCAGGAGAGCTTTGGCTATTCGGGGTTTTTGGTGATTCCATATGAATTTCATCAATAATTCTTCTATTTCTTTGAAGAATGACATTGAAATTTGTATTGGAATAGCATTGAATCGGTATATTGCTTTTGGTAGGATGGCCATTTTAATAATGTTTACTCTTCCAATCCATGAGCAGGGGATGTCTTTCCATTTCTTTGTGTCTTCTTCTATTTCTTTTAACAGTGTTTTATGGTTTTCTTTGTATAGGTCCTTTACCTCTTTTGTTAGATTTATTCCCAAGTATTTGATTTTTTTTTTGTTTTGATAATAAAAGGGATGGTTTTTTTGATTTCTTCTTCAGATTTATTGTTTGTGTATAGGAAGGCTACTGACTTTTGCATGTTGATTTTGTATCCTGCCACTTTACTGAACTGATTGATGAGTTGAATTAGTTTTTCTGTGGAGTTTTTGGGGTTCTTTATGCATATTATCATATCATCTGCAAATAGTGATAGTTTGACTTCTTCTTTTCCTATTTGCATTCCTCGTATGTCTTTCTCTTGTATTATTGCTCTGGCTAGGACTTCCAGTATTATATTGAAAAGCAGTGGTGAGAGTGGACATCCTTGTCTTGTTCCAGATCTTAATGGAATTGCTTTCAGCTTTTCACCATTGAGAATGATTCTGGCTGTTGGCTTGTCAGATATGGCCTTTATGATGTTGAGGTATGTTCTTTGTATCCCAAGAATTTCAAGGGCTTTTATCATGAATGGGTGTTGCACTTTGTCGAAAGCTTTCTCAGCATCTATTGATATTATCATATTGTTTTTATATTTCTTCTTGTTGATGTGTTGGATAACATTGATTGATTTTTGGATGTTGAACCATCCTTGTGTCCCTGGAATGAATCCTACTTGGTCATGGTGAATTATCTTATGGATACATTGTTGGATTCTGGTAGCTAAAATTTTATTGAGGATTTTTGCATCAGTGTTAATTAGGGAGATTGGCCTGTAGTTTTTCTTTTTTGTGATGTCCTTGTTCGGTTTTGGTATTAGTGTAATGTTGGCTTCATAGAACGTGTTTGGTATTGTACCTTCCTTCTCAATTTTTTGGAAGAGTTTGTGAGGGATAGGCACTAATTCGACTCTGAATGTTTGGTAGAATTCGTTTGTAAACCCATCAGGTCCTGGGCTTTTGTTTTTGGGGAGGTTTTTGATTACCATTTCAATTTCGCTGCTTGTAATTGGTCTGTTTAGGTGTTCTATTTCTTCTTTATCTAGCTTTGGGTGATTGTAGAGTTGTAGGAATTTGTCCATCTCCTCTAAATTGTTGAACTTGTTTCCATATAACTGTTCATAGTAGTTACTGATTATTCTTTTGATTTCTGCTGTGTCCGTTGTGATTTCTCCTCTTTCATTTATGATCCTGTTTATTTGTGCTTTCTCCCTTTTTTCCTTTGTGAGCCTGGCTAGGGGTTTGTCTATTTTATTGATTTTTCGAAGAACCAGCTCTTGGTTTCATTGATCCTTTGGATTGTTTTTTTAGTTTCGATTTCATTTATTTCTGCTTTGGTTTTTATTATTTCTTTTCTTCTACTGGTTTTGGGGTTTTTTTGTTGTTCTTTTTCTAGATCTTTGAGCTTCAAGATTAGGTTGTTTCTTTGAGTTCTTTCTTGTTTCTTGATGTGAGCCTCTATTGCTATATATTTTCCTCTTATTACTGCTTTTGCTGCATCCTATACATTTAGGAAATTGGTGTCTTCCTTGTCATTCAATTCAAAGAATTTTTTAATTTCTTCTTTAATCTCCTCATTAGTCCAGTGGTCTTCCAGTAGTGTGGTTTTCAATCTCCATGAGGTAGGAGAGTTCCTTGCCTTCTTTTTATGGTTTATTTCTAGTTTGATGCCTTCATGGTCAGAAAAGATGGTTGGTATGATTTAAATCTTGGTGTATCTGTTGATGTTTGTCTTGGGTCCCAGTATGTGATCGATCCTGGAGAATAATCCATGTGCGCTTGAGAAAAATATGTACTCCGTTTTTTGGGGGTTTAGTGTTCTATAGATGTCTGTTAAGCCCAAGCGCTCTAGATCCTTATTTAGAGATTTAGTGTCTTTACTTATTTTTTGTCTCGTTGATCTGTCCATTGTTGATAGTGGTGTATTGAAATCTCCCATTACGTATGTGTTTTCTCTGATGTCTGTTTTCAGAGATGACAACAGTTGTCTGATATATTTTGGTGCTCCTTCGTTTGGTGAATATATGTTAATGAGTGTTATTTCTTCTTGAAGTATTGTCCCCTTGATCATAATGTAGTGACCGTTGGGGTCTCTTTTTATCTTTTTGAGTTTGAAATCTGTTTTATCTGATATAAGTATAGCTGTTCTTGCTTTCTTTTTTGGTCCATTTGCTTGTAGGATTGTTTTCCATCCTTTAACTTTGAGCCTATTTTTATCTTTTGTAGCTAAATGTGTTTCCTGGAGACAGCAAAAGGTTGGGTTTTGTTTCTTAATCCAGCCTGCAACTCTGTGTCTTTTTATTGAAGAGTTTAGTCCATTTACATTTAAAGTTAATATTGATATGTTAGCATCTGTATTTGCCATTGTGTTTGTCTTTCCTTTGATTTTATTTATTTATTCTTTTAATAACTTTTTTTTTGGCCTTCTTTCATTGTTATTCATCCCTCTGAGGTTCTGGCTTTAGGATTCCTTGTAGTATTTTTTGGAGCGGGGGTTTAGTCATAATGAAATTCCAGAGTTTCTGTTTGTCTGGGAGGGTTCTTATTCTTTCTTCATAGAGGAAGGAGAGCTTTGCAGGATAGAGTATTCTTGGTTGGCATCTGTTTTCTTGGAGTCTGTTGACTAGGTCCCTCCACTCTCTCCTTGCCTGTAGTGTTTCTTTGGAGAAATCTGATATCAGCCTGATTGGTTTTCCTTTGAATGTTATCTATTTCTTCCCTCTTGTCAGCTTCATTATTTTTTCCTTGTCCTGGATTCTTGGGAACTTTACTATTATGTGTCTTGCTGTATTTTTCCTTTCATCGTAGAAGTTTGGTGTTCTTCTTGCTTCTTGTATATCAATTTTCAGCTCCTTCTTCACATTTGGGAAGTTCTCTTCAATTATCTCTTTGAATATTTTCTCTGTTACTACATCTCTCTCCTCTCCTTCTCATATTCCTATAACTCTTATATTTCCTTTCCTCATGGAGTCAGATAGTTCCTGAAGTCTTTCTTTGGTCTTTTTCCTTTATACTTCTCTTTCCTTTTCTGTTTTGGTTCTTTTTATTTCTGTGTCTTCAAGAGTACTTATTCATTCTTCCATTTCATCTATTCTGCTTTCATTGCTTTTCCCAGAGTTCTTTAGTGCCTCCATTAATTCTTTGATCTACTGCATTTCTTTTACTTCCCTCTTTAGGGACTCAATTTCATTCCTCTGATCGTTGATTATTTTTCCCTTATCATTGTTTTCCTTTATGACTTCTGTCAGTTTTTTAATCATGGCAATTTTAAATTCTCTTTCTGGGAGGCTCAGAAGTTCTTCCAAGTTACTGTCGTTGCAATCTGGGGGGTGGTTTTCTTTTTGTGGTGTGCTTTTTTCTGAGGAGTTGCTAGGTTGCATGTGGTTTTTCTACTCCCTACTGTCTGTTTTCTAATTTGCGATATGAATTGGGACAGTGTGTTGCTGGGACTGGCCGACATCTAGGGTGAACTTCTCTGCTCCCCTCTGGCTCCTCCGGGAGCCATCTGTCGGGTTCAAGCAGTCTTTACTGAAGAAATGTCCCTGTTCTAAAATGGCAATGCGGTTCACACTCCCTGCACACCCGGTCTGCCCTGGCATTGGGTTCCCGCTCCCCCTCTGGGCTGGAACTGCAGGCCAGAAGGGGCCTGGCATGGGCGAACTTCCCAGCTCACCTCTGGCTCCTCTGGGAGCCTTCTGATGGTTTCAGACAGTCTTTACTGAAGAAATGTCCCTGTTCTAAAATGGTGATGCGGGACGCACTTCCTGCGTGCCCAGTCTCTATCCCACTTGTGTCTTTAGCCCTAACTTTATGATTACCTGGAAAACTTGCTTAAGTCGTGAAAATAAATAAATTTAAAATTATACCAATTTGCTGTCCCTATCCCAACCCTCCCAAAAAGCTGTGATTATAAGTGGGAAAATATGGCAGCATATTATTTTTCTTCACAAATACAAACTTACATGGGTTGAATTTAATAATATAGGCAGAGACATTTTATATATAGAATCATCCATATGGAAATATTTGAGCAGTGCTCAGAATGCATCACCCTGAAATATTTTCCTCATTGATGTGTGATCTTACCAGAAATTTAAGCATTGACATTGTTTGCAACACAATTTTTAACTTTGTAATCATATTGTCATTAGTATACAATCAGTTACATTGTTACTTTGTCACTGTAGCAAAACTTTGAAAAAGAATAATCATTCATACTATATATGAAATTCTTACTTTTGATCAGGTGCTGATTATAATAAGAATGGACTCAGATGATGAAAAACATTTACTCATTAAAATCCTTAGCAAAATGGAAGGTAGGGAGTTTTAAATTATGCTTCATTTGATAATAGTGCTTTAACATATAAAAATGCTTTGATCTAACCAAACTTTTAAATTAAGATATAATTAACATGCTATAAAATATATTCCTTAAAGTATATAATTAGTAGGATCTATCCAGTTTTTAAATCAATCTGGACTATAAGTGTGTAATATAAATGTGCTATAATGTGTATATATATTATTATTGTGATTATTAGTAATAGTTATTAGTGTTATTCAGTGCCACCTTTTATTGATTGTCTACAGTTGTTAAATAATATTGGCTCCTTACAAAACTCTGTAAGTAGGTTTTATTTGCTCAGTTTTACAAATAAAGAAACTAAAGTTCATAAAAACAATGAACATGCCAAATCTCATGGGAGTAAGTGAGGCATTCAGGATTTGACCCTAGATCTCTCTTATTTCAGTGTTGCTCTTCACTACTTCTACCCATTACTGCCCCTCTGCCAGCCCTTTCCAGTTTGTGCTGTGGAACCCATTGCTTATCTGTAAACTCTTTTCCCTTGTCACCTCCTGTCTTAACTGAAATTCAGCTTTCTCCCAGATGATACCTGTATCCCTCTTATATAGAAGTTGATAATTTTGTCTCTCTATATGTACCTCATTGCGATGAGAAGGCTATGTCTTAGTTTCTATGATCCTTTCCACAACATTATTCTTCTACCCTTTGAGGCTGTGCCATATTGCTGTGCCACTTTCTACCCCATATTGCCATTATCTAGTAACTATATGAACATTCCTCATGATCCATGGACAGTTGTGCACCTGCCTCACGATTTTCTTTTCACTCCTTTTCTTGCTATTATCATAGGTATCTTTAATATGAATGGGTCATTCAACACTCTGACCTAGAGTTTCATTGCTTTCCATGACAAAAAATCATATTCATTCTTTGGTTATGCCGTTGACCTTGTGATAATGCAGAACTATCTATTTCTGAAGTTTAGGCTCTGACATTGCTCTTTGTCTATAGCTACCCCTAGTTTTTTCATGATGTTCAGGATTTTAGAGATCTGTAACCTGCCAACACCTTTTTTGTTTTATTTTCCCCCCCTGTTTCCAGGCTTGGTGACATGAACATCACTTCAATCAGTCTTGTTCTTGTATTGTACCTTCCATTTGAACCTCAATTCTGAATCTATCTAGACAGTTGACCGCTCTTTTCCTATAATTGAGCTACTGAGCATTATTGGAAAAAATGATATACTTTGGCACCACTAAAAACTCTTTTTCCTTGAACTTAATGGGCTCTTAACACCTCTTAACAATCTTTCTGTATGTCCTTAGTTTCTTTCCTAGTCTCCTAGTGGCTACACCTAATGTCTATGCCACTTATCCCCTATTTTTTGAAGGCATCTACATCTTCTAATGTCCATTAATGGTATGAGAATCCTCTTAACAGTTTCTTTCCCTACCATCTACAAACATACCTTCATTTCTTCTATTGTTTTTTTCTTTTCCTCTTTTCTCTAGAGAGGAGATCAACACACTCCCTTCAGTAACCAATCTTCCAGTTGTACTTTGGATCCTCTTCTCTTCCTGCGGTCTCCAACACTTGGTTCCATGAGTTATTTCCCAGCCCAACTTTCTTCCCTAATGACTCTTACCTTCAATGTTAAGTCCTCCAGTAAAAAGTAAAATACCACCCTCAACCTCAGTCACTATATTTTCCTTTATAAAGTACAACTTTTTCCATCAACCAAAATAATGACTTTGCTCTTGCTTTACCAAACTATTTATAATGCTGTTTCCTGTTTCTGCTCCTTTAACCTCCTGTTCAAGAAATCATTATGTTCATCTCCCTTCCTTAAGAAGCTAACTCCTACACAGTCTTTAAAAATTAAACCATTTGTTCAGGAAGCCTTGATTTAGATTCTTTTTCTCTGTGTTCTCAGTATTATGTGCATGCTTCTAAGATGCCACTTGCCAGCATGAGGTCTAATAACTGATTCACTTGTCTTCTCTTGTCTGTTTTCCTCACTAAAATGTCAACTGCTGGTAGACTGAAATTAGTGAAAAAAGATTAAACTGCAAATCTATACAAATATTGCAGCAAATATCTGCTTATCAGTGTAGTACTAAAGTTAACTAATACTTTAAATTATGGTAATGTGAGAATAGAAAGCTTTTTAAAGTAGAGCCTTGTGAGATGCCATGCCTGGAGTCCAAATTTACAAATGTGGATCTCAATATTTTATCCAGTTTGCCAGTCCTAGAAAGAAGTGTTCATATTCACCAAATTCACAAGATCCCTACTAGTGTGAAAAAGTTAGAGTATATTGGTGGACAATGGGTGCTTTAGTGGCGGGTGTGCTATCGCAACAACATCTGAAGGAGAGGACCCGATACTTCCGAAATACAAACAATGATATAAATGTTACTTCGATAAAAAAATTTTTGTATAAAGTAAGCTCAGTAGTTAACAATGTGAGGTAAAGACTACCACAGTAGTCTAGACAATTGGAAATATTTTTTAAATTTAAGAAAAAGTTGAGCAGTTATGAACATTATAAAACAAAGGAATTTGGGTGGCTGGAGAAATATTTTTATGCAGAAGTTGGGGAAGTATTTCTGTCATAATGAAAAATCTTCAGCCTAGTTAATGGGGAGCCTTCCCCTTTGATATCACTTTTCTTTGATGTCACTTAAGATTATTTGACAAAATATTGCAACTTATCTAAGCTTCATGCTGAGCATCCTTAGTTCTTTTGGCATTGTATCATCACTATTCTTACTATTTTTATTTCAACAAGGTATATTGACACAAACATATTATCTCTGCAAACTGAAAAATGATTTCACTCTCTTCCTACTTGGCAACTGTGCTTTGTATTTATGAGCTATGCCTTTTCCCTGTATAGTGTTGGAAAGTAAAAGATGTGGTTCCACTTTTCTTTATGTTTACAGGATCCTATGAATGAATTCAGTTAGGGATCTGCTTTGGGATCATAGCTAATATGAAGATACAAAACTTAAGGAGATTAAATTTTAAATAATATGAATAACCTTATAAAATGTATAAAACAGAATATAGCTGTCTCCCTTCTGTTATCCAAACCATATCGAGCCAAATTATCATGAAATTATTAAGCATTACTCTGTCATCATTATAACCTGCCTTCAGGAACTTTACAATTGACAAATGTATACTAATAGAGCATAGAATTTATTTTAACTAGAATTAGCTATTCTTTTTTAAAAAGACTTATTTATTTATGCATACAAGAACTGGGGTACAGGTCAGAGGTGTAGGTGAGAGGATTCACCAGAGACAGAGTGGGGAGCAGAATAAGCAGACTGACCGAAAACACTGTTGAAGGGAGCAGCGGGTGAGACAGGAGAGGTCTGCTGTGCCTTGTGGGCATCTCCCTGGTTGGCTCGGGGATTGAACTCATGCTGCAGAGGCTGCAGATAGCTTCATAGTGCTGTGCTCAACCCCTTGCACCACCGGGAGGCCCTAGAATTAGAATTAGCTATTCTTAAGTCAATTATGTCTAACCAAAATTTAATTCTATGGTGAGTACAGAATTTTCCTGAAATTTATTTTATTTTGTTTTAAAAAAAATAATAAAATTAAATTACAATTAAGATCTAGAAGTAAAGCTAAGGAATAGGTGTTTTTGATGTTTTCTGCTTTTATGAAACTGTAAGGGGATGGGGACCAGCATTTCTACCATATTGAAATGCAACCTCTTGCTGTTTAGATATGTACTTAAAATTTGGCTAGAGAAAAAGGGTAATCATTTACCATGATTTTTAGGAAAATAAAGTTAACTGTATAGAATTGGTATTTTTAATTTTGTTATTTTGAAATAAAGTTTTGATCCATTTTGTTGTTTTACATACACATATCAAAAATATTACCTGTGATTCACTTTCTGATACCCTAGACTTAGAAAAATAATCTAATAAATTATATATTAAGCAATTTCCTTGTTCACAGACCTTTAATTCATTTTCATGGTAGTGAAATATATGACACACCTAAAAATATATATGAACAGAACCCTGAAAAAAAATTTTTATTGCTCCTTTGTTCCAACAGGTTTAACTTTGACTGTCTTACACTCAAATGAAAGGAAAGAGGTTTTGGAATCCGAAGGTGTTTTAAATGGGTAAAAATGTTCTTCATTTATGAGGAGTAAACATTCCAGTTCCAGGAAAAGCACAGTTCTCCTAGAATTAACTTTTCAGTTTCATAGAACCTGAACTCTTTACATCTAAAAGCTATGTGTTACTGCAAACTAATATTCATTTAAAAAAATAAGGTTTTTTTAAGGTTTTATTTTTATTTATGCATAAAGAACTGGGGTGTAGGCCAGAGGTGTGGGAGTGAAAAGGATTCACCAGAGGCAGACTGGGGAGCAGAACAGGCAGATCTACTGGAATACACTACTGAGGGGAGTAGAAGGTGAGACAGAAGTCTCCTGCACCATGTGGCTTAGCTTCCTGGCCAGGGATCTAACTTAGGCCGTAGTGGTGATAGTGCTGTGACTTAACCCCTGCGCCATCAGGAGGCTCTCCCTGCCAAAAAAAAAAAAAAAAAAAAAAAATAAGTGAAATGAAAAATGATTTTAAAAATATATAAAATTAAAAAAATTTTAAAAACTACAAAAAAAACCCATAAGTTTTAAAAATCCAAAATTAATAAATGTCTCTAACCTCTTTTGAAAACTGTTTTACGTAGAATACTAATGCAGCTCATTGCCTTGTGTATTGTATGTTATTACCAAGAATTTTATTTTAATCTTGTTTCAATATCACCAGAATATTATTATTGTTGTTAGTAGAGGAACAACCCCTTTGGACTTACCCTTGTTTTTACCAGTTTTTGTTTTTTTTTTCTTTTTTTCTCAGCATTGTTCCTATACCTCCTTCCTTTCTTCTGGGCTCTCCTTCCTGAAGTACATTCTTTAGAAATTCTCTCATGAAAGATTGCTAATAATAAATTTAGTGCTGACTTGTTTAAAATGTTTTTATTTTGTAATAGCTGGAAAGTATTTCTAATTTTGAGATTCAAATAATAAAAACAGAAGATGATAATCAAATAGAAGTCCATCAAAGCTAGGCATCAGTACCTTTTATTTTCTAGATTGCTCTAGATAGAAAGCAGCAGCAGTTTTAACAGTAAGTGCTATGTTATATGAATTTTGAAGATGGGAAAGGTAAACTTACTTAAATGTCCATCTTTTTTGGTTGTTGCTAAATTATTTGTTAATCACACTGAGGAGAAGAAAACCATTTTGGGGTTCTCAGATAATATTCTGTTACATAGATTCTCGAAGATTAAAACCTTACATTTCTAAGAAAATAGGATTGATTTCTCATGGTCATTTGTGTGTTATTGACAGAGGCAGGTCATAGAATTAGGGTCCTTTGAATTTAGGGATGTAATATAGTCCACAGTTTTTTTATACTTATGTGTGTGGTTTTTTTTTTTTAAGTATGTCCATCAAAAAGAAAGATAAAAAGAGATTATCACAATTGGAGAACAAATCAACAAAAAATGTATAAGACCTTTCCAAGATAAGTGGAGACAAAGAATAGAAAAGAAAGGAATCACCAAAACCAGTTTATCTTTTAGCATTCCAAGTAAATAATGGCATAAGCGTAATTTCATTTTATTGACTTTCTTATGTCTTCAGTACAAGTTCCTGTGTAGTCGTATACAATCAACATATTGGAGCAGATTTCCCCTGGAGCAATTTCTCATTTGTGGTGGAATACAATTATGTAGAAAACTCCTGTTGGACTAAACACTGTGAAACACTGAACATTCCTTACACGGCCTTTAAAGTGATTCTTCCAGACATAGTTTTAAAAAGTAAGGATATAAACTAAAATCCTCCTGTTTTTCTCTTTCATTAGAATGAAAATTTTCTGTTTTCTGTTTCTGATCTATGGCAGTAGGAGACATGAGTTCAAACTCTCAACTAATCACTATCTGTGTGACATGGAGCAAGTCCTTTATCTCTTATTTGATTACAATTATGTCTAATTTTAATCTGATACTTTAATGCAAAAGTATTTATAATTGAATTATAGGGGGAATTATATAACAGTTTATTGGCTGATGTAGAAAAGTTTTAATATGCAACAAGAATTATATACAAATACTTAGATATAAATCTAAAACCACTTTTATGTCATTTGGTTTCCTTGTTTTTCACAATTTGGGGTTTCTTCACATAACTGAGGTTCTGACTCTTAGATCCCTTAAATTGAGAAGCTCAGTTTTAATTCCAGTGCATCTTTCACTATTTGTCATAAGTTACTTTCCGTGCACCTCAAGAATGAGCAGGTAGTAGGAATTCTGAGACATCCCAACTCAATTCTAAAAATACAGTCACCATAATTATTGCTTTAGAATCTTTGATATGTAGAATTAAATGTTAATTTAAATTTGTTAAATAATTGGTGTTTGCTTCGGCAGCACATATACTAAATTTGTTAAATAATTGAAACATGGGCCCAAGAAAAAATGAGTTATTCTAATTTATAGAGGCTTCTTCCATTCTCTCATAGATGAACCTAATTGATTCAACCACTTCCTTGTGCTTCAAATCCCACTATTATAAAAAGATTTGTTGTACTTTATATATCTTAAATGTTTTCATGTGTTTGGTCTAAGAAGTCAAATTCCAAGAAGTAAAATGAATTGTTGCTAAGTGTCCTTCCAGAAATGTTATCCCAATTTATATTTATACAGAAAGTTTGAGAGAATGCTTTCCCTTGTATCTTTACTATAAATAGGTATTATTAATCTTTTTGAAATCTGTGATAGAATTATAGGCAGAGAATATTTTATAGTTATGCTAATTTATGTATCTTGGTTTATTCATATGTATTCATGTGTGAATTAGTCTTATTGTTGTTAGTAGCCATTCTTTTGTAATTGCCTATTTATGTCCTTTGTCCATTTATCTGTTGAGGTTTATTCTTCCCCTATTATAGCGTTGTGTCATTCCCAATAGGTTATGTGCATAATTTTAAATGTTGCTGTAAAACAGTATATATTTACACAGCAAACTTCATTCATATATATATATATATATATATATATATATATATGTATGTGTGTATGTGTGAATAAAGCATATTTTAAAGGATATTTTAACATTCAAGTAGAATATCCTATTTTTTTCTTTTCTTTTTCTTTAAGTGAATATATATAGAAGTATAGGCAAACATACATATATATATATATATATATATACACACACACAAAAAAAAAAAAAAGTCTGGAACTAAGTACTAAATTCTGTTTTTAGTGTATAGTCATTTTAGTAAATTCTGTTAAATGTGTTATTTGTAGGTAGTAAAATAACTTGTTTTTATTTTATTCTCCATACCTTTATTCCGATATTTGATTTTCAATGAGTGTTATTTTTATACTACTCTCTGACTGTACAGCTGTTATTCTCATGTTCAGTTAAAAAAAAATAGAGCTGGGGAGTAAGAAAAAAGAAATGTTTGTAAATTTTCTCTTATTTAGGAAACACCTTCCTAGATAGATTTGGTGGTTTTCCTTTGGAAATTCAGATTCCATATGTATTTTTTGCATCTGAAGGACTTCTTAACAGTCCAGAAATACTTCAGTTGCTAGAATCCAAGTAAGTGCTTCTTGATGTCAAATTGGTAGTGTGTGTGTATCCTAGTTGACTAAATGTGCTATGTATGTGGCACATATTTTTTTCTGATCAAGCCTGAAATTATGTCACATGGGAATAAGTTTCCAAACAGTTTGTTAATGGATACTTGTCTCCCTATAGTACACCACCATAATTATTGAATATTATCTTTTTTTGTGGGGAAAATAGTTTATATTTTAGTCTCTTTTGTTGTGAGCAAATATGAACATTTTATTTAATTTTTTAAAGATTTATTTTATTTATTTATGCCTACAAAAGATTGGGTGTAGGCCAGTGGTTGGGGGATGGTGAGAGGATTCACCAGAGATAGAGTAGGGGAAGCAGAACAGGCAGATTGACTGAAAAACACTGCTGAGAGGAGCAGTGAGCGAAATAGGAGAGGTCTGCTGTGCCATGTGGGTTAGCTCCCTGGCCAGGGATTGAACTTGTGCTGCAGTGGCTGCTCATAGCTTTATCGTGCTGACACTTAACCCATTATGCCACCAGGGAGGCCCAAATTTGAACATGTTAGGCTAATTTTTCTCTGTGAATTATATGGTCATATCTTTGGGTCATTGATGATATTGAGAATGAGGATTCTTGTTTAGAGGACTTTAAATATTGCAGGGAAACAGGACTATGAAGTTCTAAATGAATTCTCAAGTTTTCAGACCTTTAGTTACAATGTCATGTCAACACTGAGCATTTTTAAATCATTTAAATATGTTGTCACAGAGCGTTGGGCATTCAGCTGTATGTCTTAGAAGGGTAATTGTGCTGTGACTTTTATTAGAATGTAAATGTATTTTCCACACTTTGTTTTCATCTTAAGGCTATGAAGCACTCCACAGAAAACCTGAGCTTATAAAAACTAGTTAAAATGTATGCCAGTTTTAATGCGAAAGAGAAGGAAATTTTGATAAATGCAGAATGTTTTAGTCTTCTATTTGATTCCGTGTACTATTAAAGAGCTTGAGTAAATTGGTCAAGATGTTTGTAATAGTATTATGTGCAGTAATATTTAGCACGATACCTAAGGCAACAAATATTTCAACTATTATGTGCTATATACTGAACAAATCATAGTTTCAGTCCTCAAATATCTATAAAAAGTATAATAAATTTATGTATTAAATAAAAAACAGTAACTAATGTGTAATAGGACCGTACAACTTCTCTAAAAGAATTTTTCTCAGCTATTTCATTATTTTGTCCCCAAATAACATATTTTACAGCTATAATATCACACTAGTGGAAAGATGCTGCAATGAGTCATTGAAACTCTTTGGAGGCACAGAACATTATATTGTGGTTACAATTGATGAACACACTGCCATACTCTTACAGGTAAAACTATAGAGTAAAAAATATAATGAAAATTGTTTAATATATATATTTATATGGAAACTTTAAAAATCAAATCTCAGCCACCATGTTTCTTAAAGTATATTAATCCATGATCAGTAATATGGGATTTCCTCAAAGATGTAAGTAGGATTGTCTGTATGTAAGCTAGATTTTAAAAAGAGAGAGAAAATCTGATTTGATGAACAAATGCTGTAATACAAGAATTAAATGATGAACATACACGACTCTATTAGAGGTTCTTAAGAGCTATTGTGTCTTGCATATTTAAGTTCTTAGAAAATAATTATTTGGGAGATAAAAACTGGGAAAACTTTTAACCCATGGTTATAAAACTTAGTTGTGAGAAGTTTCTTAATCATTTATCAAAAATTACTTTTATTAAAGGTAAAAGGGGATTGCAGACCATTAAGTAGAGATTCCTAAAATCCATTAACTGCTGCTTTCTGATCTTATATGAACGTTAGGTACAGATTAGCCCATGGATTTTTAAACATATATTATATTGCCTTTAAGGAGTAACCAGATCTCTGTATCTCTGTCTATGGAGGACTTTGCCCAAATAGGGATACTTTGTAGGCTGCTTTCTTCAAAACAAGGACTTAGGGAGATTCATGAGCCCTTATTGTTGAAGCTATCATTAGGTGTTTTGCTTCCCCGTAGCTTTTACCTATTACCTCCCCAGTGTGGTTTTAATTTTTGCACAAGATTGGAGCCCATACCCATGCTTCTCTTCAAGTTATTTATAAATCATAGATTCTGAAAATATGGTAACAATAATTTCAGCACAGCTATTCAATCTAGTGAATTTTCTCTTTATTTCTTGGTAGGACCTAGAAGAATTGAATTGTGAAAAGGCATCAGACAATATCATTATGAGACTGATGGCATTATCATTCCAGTACAGCTATTGTTGGATAATTTTATATACCAAAGAAATATTAAACTCAGTGTAAGTAAACATGTTTTCATTCAAAGTCATGCTCATATTTAAGTTATTCATTTCCCCTTTTGGAGCAGAAATACCTATGTAAATATTCCACTTGCTCATTTGATTTGCTTTAAGTCAGGGATTCTTAAGTTAGACACATGCCCATAGGAAAACAAATCAAAATTTTGGAGATAAAATATCTTCCCCAGATAGTCTGCGTAAATCATCCTCCCCTCTTCTACCTCACTTAGAATTGCTGCTTTTAGTATTCTGTTTTATTACTTCTTTTATAGTTCTGGACTTGTCTGCTGAAATATAAAACATTCTTAAATCACCTCTAAAATCTTATTAAATATTCCAACTAAATAACATCGTGCTATACTTTCTTTTACTGATGTGCTGGTAAATTACAAAAAAAGTCCTACCAAGATACTGGCACAAATTGTCATTATGTCTCTGCTTTCCCTTATCTCAATTTTGTGAACCGACAACTTCCATTTTCTCCTTTCATTCTCTGTAATCTGGCCTTTCTCAATGCTATGTATGTCTCTGTCTCTCAAAGGTCACTCATCACTTGTGACTTTCTTATGATCATCTCCAAAAATCCTCTTTCACTGCTCTGAAGTATTTAAGATTGTTATCAGTGCTTTCTTTGTTGAAACTCTTGAGTTCCATGAAACTTTAATGTTTTTGATACTCTATAACTACTCTGTCTTTCCTCTTCTTCCTTCCCAATTTCCAAATATATCTGATTTCCCTTCTTTTCTATCCATTGGAAACCTTATCCACCCCCACTAATCTTTCTACATACAGTTGTTATATCTGCTGTTAGTTTCTCTGACATTCCTAACTTGTATCTAATTTCCTATTATATATTTCGACCATCATAGTCCACAGACTCTCAGTCTAACATGAAATATTAATTCATTATCTTCTTTATGCCCTTTAAAATTGTATTTCCTCTTTTCCGCCCTTTAGCTTTTTATAGTATTGCCTTTCTTATAGTTACGAAGACTGAAAAGCAAATACTATATGTTTACCAGTGGAGTTTCTTCCATGTATTCCCTTCCTTCATTTATATCACATCTTAAATCAGACTCTCATTATTTTATGTGCACTATTATAACAGACTGCCAACAGTTTTCCCACCTCCAGATGGCTCAAAATGTTATTCTTCATAATCTCCATACATTCAATTAGTATTCCAGAAATGAGGCTCTGGTTATTCACTCCAATAAAAAACCATCACTGACTTCCCTACTATCTGATAAATATGTATATATGTGTATATATATATTTATATATATATATATATATATTCAGAGTCTTCAGAATATAATCCTAACCTATATGTTTAGGCTTAATTTTCACTGTTTTCCATTTTAACCAAAAGGACTACTCATTGCTTGCAAAGATGATCCCTGTTTTCCCACTTCCACTTTTGCTCATATGTTGCTTGGGGTGCTTACAGTGAGTAATGGTAATAGAAATACCTACCCAGGACTCAAGATTCACATGTGACCTACTTAATAACCGCAGAGGGAGGGGAAATGGGGTATTTTTCCTAAGAGTTCAGGATAAAGATCCAAGGATTCTAGTTATTGTGCTTCTGGTCTTGTGTTCGAATTTGAACCTGGTTTTTAACTAGTTGAATAGAGTCTTGTAGTTAGCAAGCCTTCAGTCTTACAGTCATCCTGGGATCAGTAAGGGAATGAGTTTAACCTCTCCCTTGCCCCGCACACATTCTCAGCACAAACTCATGCTTAGATTTAACAATATTGTTAAAGAATGGAGGTGGCAACATTTTTTTTCCCCAAAAGACTGCTAAATGGATTAAAAAAACCTTGAGTCTGACACACTGGTGTCTTCTTAGTAGGGTTATTCCAGTCACATATGATATGTGGAAAATAAAATGATTTTTAATAAGCATAATCAGATGTCAAATGAGTAGGGGTACAGTGATACAATTCTTTTTAGGTACTGTTTTACAGAAAAGACACTTCATCACCTAGCACTGATTTATGCTGCTTTGGTTTCATCTGGCCTAAAATCACAGGAACTGGATGTAAAGGTATTCTTTTCTGTGTATGTTTATATGTTGAGTTTTGCCAAAATTAAACTCAAGCACCTAGTTCAAAGAAATATTAAATATATAGACTAAGAACTGCTTAAAAGCCAAATAAAGAAGTTTTCACATTAATATTTTCCACTTAAGCTTCTGTTCTAAAAGCCTTTAGTGAATTTTTAGCCATATTTTACCTCTTATTACTTAGATTGTTTATTGAAACATGAAAGGATATGAATAAAAGTAAATATCCCTTGATTAAGAATGTTCTTATGAAAGATATATTAAGTTTTTATCTTTTGGAAAAGGAAATCTTATGACATGAAAATGGTAATATCTTGGTGATCTCTGTCTCTATACTTGGTCTTTTTAAAAATGTCTTACTCTGAAATTCAGACAATTCTCCAAAGTCAGAGTTAATACTTTTCTGTTAATACTTCATATTCTTTCTTGATAAACTCAGACATTCCCAAAATTTAGCTTTCATTCCTGAGTATAATCCTTAAAATTTTCCTTAATTTTACTTAAAAGCTGTACCTGTAGTCTAACATTCTACTGGACATCTCCACAGAGATGTGCCACAAATGTCTCAAAATCTTCATGTCTAAAAACAACTTTTCCTCCTCCCTCAAACTTAATTTATGGCTGTTATTCAAATTTAAACAATAGGGCCTCCCCTGGTGGCACAGCGGTTGAGCGCTGGGCTGCCCACAGCCTCTGCAGCACCGGTTCAATACCTGGCCGCTAGGTGAGGGTCCACATGGCGCGACAGACTTCTCATGTGCCGCGCCCGCTGCTCCCCTCAGCAGTGTATTTCGTCAGTCTGCCTGTTCTGTTCCCTGCTCTGGCTCTGGTGAATTCTCTCACCCTCCTGTGCTTCTGACTGTACCCAGTGCTTGTATAAATAAATAAATCTTCAAAAGAAAAAAAATGTAAACAATAGCTAATTCCTTTTTTAAAAAAAACTTCACAGTGTTTTTAGAATGTCTTTCCTTGCATTGCCACTGCTGTTTCCCTAAATCCAAGTCTTTATCACCTCTTACTTGGAGTTTTTAAGTAGTTTCATAATGAATTTCCTTATTTCTGCTCTATTTCTACTCCAGTGTATCATATGTATCGATACCAAATAAATTTCTGAAATTGGCTGTGAATATTTCAGTCCATAGACTATAAGCTCCTGAAGAAAAGAGATCATGTTTCATTTTTATATTCATGGAACCCAGTATAATGCCAAGTCCATAGTAGACTCTTGAAAAATATTTGTTGTTGAATTTAATTTTCTTGCTCAAAGACCTACTGGTAATTTCCTATTTCATTCAGAATACAGCCAAAACTCAGCACCATTCAAACCCTTCAACAATTGGTCCCCTAGTAAACCTTCCTTTAACATCATTCTACTCATTGTTTCCTGAATATACCCCCTACACAGTCATCTCCCAGACTTTGCACAAATATATCACTCTGCTCTAGTTTGCTTCAAGAATTCTACTCCCCATCTACCACTCTCAGTCAAGGTTTTGTCTTTCTCTACCCAGCTCAAATAATACCGTCTTTAAGAAATTTGTCCTAATTGTACATTGTTTAGATAACTACTTCTTGCTTCCCCCAAATGATACTTTGTGCCATTATTATAATATGAGGTATTTTTTCATATAGCCTCAACCCTAACAGATGATAAATAGGCTCTTTTACTTTGTAAAACATAGAGTATATAATGCAGTGCTTTGTACACAATAAAAAGTATTCAATAAACTTGCACTAAATAGAATTAAGTCAAAACACAACCTGTTAAGAAAATCAATAAGTGATATATTTGAAATAAAATACAGATAATTTTGATCCTGTGATGCATATTAAACATAGCTGTAAAATTCTTTAGAGTCATCTAAATAAATGAGTGAAAATGTAAATTTGTCTCATCCACTCCAGTGAGGTTTCACCACTTAATCAGCTTCTTTTCTTCTCAGCTAATAATAGTGAGCTATTAGATACAAAATATGCTGTAGTGAATCATTGTATTCCTAACTATACCAGGTATCAGATACCTGTGAGTGATACTGTAACCAGGTACAGTGACATAGTCCTTAGGGGACTTATTCCAAGGAAAGCATTTGAAGATGAGATACGCAGAACTACCCTGGCACAATTCATTACAAACAAAAGTCTGTCCCCACTTGGGTCAAACTATTTCAAAAATGTTTCACAAGTTTTACATAATAACCTAAAATGTACGTCAGTGTCACCATAGAATTTGAGAAGCAGCTATTGTAAATTTGCTCAGGCTCTATTATCAATTTGTCACCAACACTCCCATTCACCTGACATGAAACATTATAATAAGGGATATTCCCTAGACTCATATTATTTTAGAATATGTTGTTGCTTTACCTTATATTTAGTAATGTGGCTTTTGGCCTTTAGAATACATGATGATTTTTTTTTTTTTCCCCAGGCATGTGAAGTGCATAGCCATAAAGGCAGTTTTAGAGAGTTTAAGTATGCTTTCTTAAGCTAAAATAAAATACTGCTAGTAGTGTTATGCTATATTTTATTCTAATTTCAAAGAAATTTTTCAAAAAATATGTTCTATAAATTTCTTATAACTCTTTTGAGGAAAAATGTATAGATATACACATGTGCAAAATTTTACAGCGTTAGGGGGTCCTTGAATCTCCCAAAGTGTAGCCATGAGCTCTAGAATCCTTGCCCTAGTAAAAAATTAAGGTCATATTCATTACTCGCATCATGAATTATGCCTTTTAAAACAAAATTTATATTTAAATGAAAGTGTCAGATCTTCTCAGAACATCCATACTTAGCAATAAAATAAATTTATACTCTAGCAATGTATTTCTGTGAGCTCTATACGTGTTTACTATAATTAAAAGGAAATCCTTCTTTAGAATACATGAACTCCACAGGTATGTACTAAGTTTTCTGTTTGTTGTTATTGTGAAAGAAAAAAGTTATCATAATTATTTTGTGAGGTTTGTATAGTCTGGTTCTTAAATTTCCACTCCAGGACAGGATATTTATAATTCTATGATAGGCTTGTTTAGGTCAGTATTTCTCTGTGTACTTTAAACTACTAGCCTGTAAACTATCTATCCTTCAACCAAATTGAGAAGATGAAACAGAAAATAAAGATAGAAGTAAAAAGGGGAAGGAAAAGGTTGGCATTTCAGAAGAGAGAAGGCATAGAGGAAAACCAAGTGACAGATGGAAATAGGAGATATGAAGAAATTATAAGTTAGAGTTAAGTTTAATACACACACATAATACATTCTTGACAGGGTATCTTAGTATCAGATAAGCCAAGATGGACGAACAATTCCAGAAATAAACAGGAGATGGCTACTCTAAATCAAAATGCTATGTTTTCTTTTTGAACACAGCATCAAATTCAACTGTAAATATCCTTTTAATTTCAGTTTGCTTTTTAAATCTTGCACCGTACTTTTAAATTCTTATTTTTAAATTCTCATTTTTAAATTCTTTTTTTAGAACTATTAGATTTAACCTAGAAAAAGCAAAATAATAACTATCACTAGTAATATTGAAATTACTTTTTCTTCTTATAATATAGATAAAACACCAGGTATTTTCTAAAAGAATATTTATAAATGCCAACTAGAAAAAACACAATTTAGTTACAAAAATTGGAAGCTACAAGGATATTTATATTTAAAAAAGGAAAGAAAATTGCTTATCCTCGCAAATAAAATGCCCTGGATTTCACATAGATAAGTTATTTTAAAAATAATGTTAAAATATTAGAATCTGTTTTTTTCTTCTAATTACAATTTTTGAATGATACATTTCTAATATTTCCTGTTGTCTAACATAGAAAAAAATATTTTTTAGCTTATACTTTCCCCAGGAGTGGAAGAGACTGCCTTGATAATACGACAAATTGCTGACCATAACTTAATGACCTCAAAGAGAGATCCTCATGAGTGGTTGGATAAATCCTGGCTTGACGTTTCACCATCTAAGGTTTATTTTCTAATTATATAAATTATATATTTGCACAGCAAATATGCGTACTTGAATTCTCTTTCTGGTAGTATGTTTTTGTTCTACAATGCTTGCATGAGCATAGGTAACAATTACAATGCACAACATTTACTTAGGTCATTTTCCAAATCATTTGTATTTTTCAGTTTCACAAAATATTTAATGGACTATTTACAATGAATTTTCAAATCTAACTCACTGTAGGGTGATCTAATGATTTCAGTCCCTAATATTTTTAAAGCATCATTATTTTTCTAATACCTATATTTAAACATTTAAGAATAGTGAACATATTAAGAGAGTAGCAAAATTCTGTCACTCCTTGTTTTATCAGCAATTCATTTATGTAATAGAAACCAAAAACAGAGTTGTAAAATACTTATAAGATCAAATAGTTAAATTTTAGAAACTCCTTTTGTTTAAGCATAAATATCTCCAAATTCTCATACCAACCCAGTGTTTATTTTAAAATAACAGAATTTTATTTATAAAATTTTATTTATCAGGTAACAGAATGTTATTTTAAAATACATTCATGCCATGAAACCATAAAAAAGGAATGATAAATTTCTTTACATACTAACTTGGAATAATTTTTAAGAAATAGTAAGTGAAAAATGAAAGTTGTAATACAGAGTTTGCAGTACATTGCCAGTTGTGTAAAACAAGAGAAAAAGTTAATCTCCAGAGAAGAGACTTGAGTATTGTGGTGGGAACAAGCAATGGGCTGCTCATTGTATGCCCTCTTAGTACCTTTTGGATTTTGATGCATGTAACTATCTTACCTATTTAAAAAAATTATAAGACAAATTAATATTCATAAATCACAGAACTTTTATATGCTTAAACAGAACATAGTGCTCTCAGCAAGTGTGGTTATAATTAACTGAGGGGTGTGTGTGTGTACGATTTCCTTCTTTCTAAGGCATGACAGTCAACTGACAAGTCTGTCATTAGATAAAATTACAATACAAAAAGCTTTGTAACCAAGAAAAAAGGAAATATGGTTCTAGAGTTCCTAGGGCTCTTTCTGAAAATATACATTTTTAAACAGTCAAGGTCAGGTCTAGTTCATAGAAATTCTTCCTGAGCTCTTCACAATAAGACTTTCCTGACATTATACCATCTTTTAGCTATAAGCATCATTCATCTTCATCAAACAGTGATATGTGGTCTACAGAGGGAGAGCTAAAGAAATCTTAAGGTATATAACTAAGTCCCCTGAACGCTTTCTCATTAGAAAATCTATTAGATGAAAACAGCTGTCTTTTGTAGGCGATGAACTGTAATAGATATTTTTGGACTAGTGATTAGACTGAATAAACTTTTAAGATCCTCCCAATTCTGACATTGTGTGAATCATTATGGCCAAAGAAGTTTCTTTCCCTCCTGGCCATACTTTTTTTCCTCCAGATGTTTTATATAAATGGAGCAATGACAAAAATTTTAATCTGCTGGATTGAATAAAATAAAATGGGTCACTTACTGATTGTTTCTTAATATATTTTCTAGGAAGAAATGTACTTGCTTGATTTTCCATGTATTAATCCATTAGTAGCTCAACTCATGTTAAATAAAGGACCCTCACTGCTCTGGATATTATTTGCAAGTCTTTGTCAACTTCAGGAACTCCTGCCTGAAGTTCCAGAAAAGGTACTAAAGGTTAGTTATTTCAGTTTCATATTTTTATGTGAGTTTATTTCCTCTCCATTCAAGTGTTTGTGTTGCTGAAAAATGAAGCTATCCAAGTTTAATTGTTTTGAATTTCACGTAGCAAAGAAATTATTTACTTGAGCTTAATTTCATATATAATTCTCATTATACATTTATATACAATTTATATATTATACATGTATAAATGTGTAATTGTATTATACATTTTAAAGCTATCATATATAAAGCTATACCTCAGTATAGCCAGTTTATCACACTTAAATCGTTTTGAAGTGTTATTGTGCCCACAAATATTCAATTAACACACTCTATTCATGTATTTACATCATCTCTTCCAAATAATCCTGACATACTTCATCATAGTAGCAGCTAAAGAGAATTTAGCCTTACTAGTAATAACTTGAATTTTTTTTTTTTTTTTATGATAGCCAAAAGCAAAACAACTTGAAAGTCCTTTAATGGGCAAGTGGTTAAACAAACTATGGTATATCCATATCATGGACTAATACTTAGCAATATAAAGGAATGAATTGGCATGTCAGCAGTGTGGGTGAGTGTCCAGAGAACAATGCTAAGTAAAAAAGCCTGTAGTGAAAAGTTACACATTGTGTGATTCCATATATGTGTATATACACACACATATGACATTCTGGAAACACAATTATGGAGATAGAAAACAGGTTAGTGCTGGGCTTCCCCGGTGGCGCAGTGGTTGAGCGCTGGGTTGCGAAGCTGCCGGCGACCTCTGCGGCGCCTGTTCGATCCCCGGCTGCTCCCCGGCCACTGGAGGAGGGTCCCACATGGCGCGCAGACCTCTCCTGCCGCCTGCTGCTCCCCTCAGCAGTGTACTTCGGTCCTTCTGCCTGCTCTGCTCCCCGCTCTGGCTCTGGTGAATTCTCTCACCCTCCCGCGCTTCTGACTGTACCCAGTGCATGTATAAACAAAACAAACAAACAAATAAAAATAAAAAAAATAAATAAATAAACATGCCTCTATAAAAAAAAAAAAAAAGAAACAGGTTAGTGCTTTTCAGTTTACGGGGTGGGAGTGAGTGACTGTGCTTATAAAAGGATGGCATGAGAATTCTTTGAGACTGAATGTTTTGTTTCTTGACCAGTGGTTATCATAAGGATCTACATATATTGTAAAATTGGTTAGAGCAAAATATACAGAATATACAAAATATACAGAATAACAAAATAAAATATACATAAAACAGAATGCATACAAAACTGATGAAATCTGAATAAAGTTGCTATTTTCTATCCTTGTCAATATACTGATTGTGATGTTAAACTAGAGGTTTTTTTTTTATAATAAATTTTATTTTTATATTCCCCATACAATTTCAACCACCCATTTTGACCCCAATCCCTCCCTCCCTCCACCCACCCCCCCAAAAGTGTCTCTGTTCATAGATTTTTGTTGATTTTGATTTTCACTTTCTTATAGTTATTCAT